GTGTAAAGCTAGCTAGCCATGAAAGTAGTATCATTGGAGGGTATCCAGGGGCCGAGAGCACTGCAAAAACGAACCGGTTTGAAGCCTACGGTTTATCCATTGGAAAACAAGATCGGTAGACTGCGCAACCCTAGGCAAAGACTTGAAGCAAGCCTACTCCGCTGGCAGTTAGGGTTTGGGTTAGGGTGTGGGTGTTCAGGGTTTAGGTGGTATACCCTTACCCTAAACTGGCCGAATCCCAATGTTTCTATGACTTGAATAGAAGCCTGAAAAAATTGCAATGACATTTTTCTTTCTGAGACAGTTGTACTATAATATGCGCCCAAGCCCTCTTCCAATTCTACAAAGATCTAGGCACCTGCATGAAGCAGATCAGGTTCCATAGGCTTCCTTGGTTAGTAACAGGGTACTTTAGGGGTTCCTTTAAAGGGCTCTATAAGGGTTTAGAGTTTCCGAAGATTAGGGGTACCTGATTTTGATTTTGGGGTCCTATAATGAGGACCCTACTGTTTAGGGTACTATATGAGTCGGAAACTCCTGCGTCACATGACGCCTTTCCATAGTGCCAAGATTACGCCCGCAGCGAAGCAGAGAGTTTTAGGTTTTCTGGGTAGGCAAAGCCCGACAAGAAACCCTAAGCTTTCAATACCCTACGCCTTAAATCCCGCAACCCAAAACTTTGAGGTAGCGTTGCTACTGTGCTCCTTGCCGCTGCTGGTGCGAGAATGGGCACTGGTTGCAGCAAGGCGGGACACCCAATACCCTCAACCCTAACATAGAAGCCTAAAGAACACATCAGGGAGGAATGCCATTCCGAAGGTTTCCTAATTATCGCCATACAATACCAGGACCCTTGTACCCTCAAATAGGGGTACAAAGTCCCAAATAAGGGGCATTTAGGGTCTAATAGAGGGTAGATGGAGGGTCTAGGTAATGTACTTCAGAATCTACGGATATAGTCATCAGGATCCTAAGTTGGTTCTTGAAGAGATGGGTGGTCGTGAAAAATTGTGGTCCCTCTTTGGATCTTCAATATAATACGGCACCTAATATTTAGGGTACCCAAAAAGGGACCATATTTTTGACAACCACCCCTATCCAGGATCGTTTAATCCAGAGTTGTTTCATTTGAGTTCAAGAGTAAGGGTGGTTTCGGAAGGCATTTGTGTTGTTGGTAGGCCTTCGGGGGTGCGGGGCTTCGCTGGTGGGGTTTCCAACAGAAGCCGTAGTTGGCGCCTTGGAATCCTGCCCAGAGGGCTGGAAGAAGCAGCTTGACCCTGTACCTCCTTTGTTCGATTTTCCATTTCTGGGTTTACTACAAGTGTTTTTTCCCTGCATCTGTCCTTGTGTGGCCGTGTGATGTAACCCTTTCTGTAAGGCTTCGACAACTCTGGGTTTATGGCCTCAAACCCAGAACTAAACCCTCAACACCAAATGAGAGTTTCCGAAAATAGCGGGCCCTAATATAGTACCCTAAATGGTAGGATCCTTGGCCCCAAAATAAGGAACCCCTGTTTTCGGAAACTCCCAAATCTCAAACCCAGAACTACCCGAAACTCTAAACCCTAAACCCCTAAACCCTAAACCCTAAACCCTCAGCACCAACTCTGAAACCCGCAAGCCTTCAGTCTCAAAACGAGAGGCCCCAGGACTCCAAATCCATAAACTTCGAGACTTAGGCACTGAAGCTCGCTCACATCCTGGGGTTTGCCAGACTTGGGTGGCTGTCAAAATTATGGTCCCTTTTTGGGTACCCTAAGAATTAGGTGCCGTATTATAATAAGGACCCAAAAAGCGACCATAATTTGACAACTACCCACTTGTGTCGTCGTTTCTACTCCAAACACGAAGCCCTAAACCTTAAACCCTAAACCTTCAACCCTAAACCCTATACCTAATCTCCAAACACAAGACCCAAAACCCCTGAGGAACCCGCAAAGGAGCCTGCTCGGCAAAGGAAAGGCAGGTTGATAGGTTGAGGGCTGCAGTAGTCGAGGGTGTCGCTCAGAGTTCCTGTAAGGGTTCTGCTAAGGAACTCCTAAAGGTTATAAAACCCTAAACCCAACCCCTAAACCCTAAACTCCCTAGATAGGGTCTAGAGCACTCCTCGACAGGGTACATATCACTCCTGCAACAATAAGAAACCAAGAGGCCTGACCATCGGTTGCTTATTGTGATTATAGTATAATGGGCCCCAAAACCCTGTTCTAATTCCCTATATTAAACCCCCAACCCTCCATGCCTGGCAGGGCTGCGTCGACTCCGCTGCAGGTCTGAAGAAGGGAAGATACAGATGCACGCTACGGGAGAAAGAGGCGTTTACTAGGGTCCAGGTACCTATAAGCACCTTAACGCCCAACCCAAAAGCCTTATGTGGTATGGTCTTGGTATATGAGTCCTTAGATCCCTAGGGGTATATACTGAGGCCTGTAACAAGGTTTCCTATTCAGGAACTTGGGGCTCAAGAACGTCATGTGGACCCTCGGGGGTACGGTAGGGCTCGCTGTGCAGAGCTTCTAAACATCCTGAGGACCGTTTGATTCAGCATTAATCTGAAATCGCAGCCTTTTTTCTTGTACTTACAGAAGATTGTATGAGCCCGCTTTCCCAGACAGTCGGTTGCTGTCGCTAATGGAACCACAGCATTGTGTAAGCAAGTAGCATTCCGCCAGCTCTGGCTAAGGGATTGCAAGCAACGGTCGAAGTGTAAGGTATACTGCTTAGCTGGTCGAGGACAGTAGCATGATTTAGTACTTTGAGGAGGACCATGACAGGAATGTGTTTGTAACGGCAGTAGTGGCAAGAGTAGTAGCGCGTAGCCGTAGCAGCAGCGGCAGCAGTAGAGGCAGGAGCAGCAGCAGGATTTGAGGTCGTGGTCGTGGTGGTGGTTGCAGTGGTCGTGGTAGTGGTAGTGGCAGTGGTAGGTGGCGGCAGTAGTTTGGTTGCCACTACAGACAGCACATAAACTGAAACTTCCCTTATGAAATGTTTTCAGGAACCCCTTTCGGAATCTCTTTAGAACCCTAGGCCTCCCAGTGGGCCCTTTACCCAATACCACAAAGGGAGCCCTTTCTATTCCTAGCTTACCGGGCATCCTAGATCCCTAAACCCTATTCACCCTATAAACCCTATAAGCCTTGTAAACCTTACAAACCCTATAAACCCTATAAGCCTTAAACCCTAATCCCTAAACCCTAAAACCCCTAAACCCTAAACCTCTATAGATCCCTCTAAAGGAACCCTACAGGGTTGCTGGGCACCCCAAACCCCTCAACCCTAGCCTTGAGTTACCCAAAGACTCCAATATCCCTTAATTAAGGAATACTCCTTAAATCATAGTAGGATCCTGTATATGATTTAGGCAATCTTCCTTACTTAAGGGATATTGGAGTCCTCTGGTATGCACCGAAAAGCCCAACCCAGGCGCCGATCCCATCCGCCCCCAACCCGTACTTAAAGGATCATGGGACTTAGTAAGTAAGGTTATATGTACCTTAATTCGGGTTATAAGTAGTTATAAGTATAGTTACCTTACTTATAACTCTAGTTACTAAGTCCCATGATCCTCTAAGTAAGCAGGACAGCCCAGAGAGCCCAACACCCCTCAAATTAAGGAATAGAGATAGGGTTCCTTTAAGGGAACTACAAGGTTTATAGGGCTTAGGGGTATTCTAATACCCCTTAATTAAGGAATATAGCTTAAATCACAATATGACGCTCCTTAGAATTCACGGTATATTGCTTAATTAAGGAGTATTGGGTTCTCTGACAGAAGACTTGATGAGTGGTAGCATCATTCCCGTGTAGTCCGTATGTCATAGTAAGTGCACACACCACAGAGAGTTTCCGAAAATAGGGGACACTAGTATAGTACCCTAAATAGAAGGATCCTCATTAGAAGGATCCCAAAATAAGGTACCCCCCAATTTTCGGAAACTCCCCTAAACCCTAAACCCTTTGGATCCCTTAAAGGAACCCTTAATAGATCCCTTTAACAGTACCCCGAACATGCCACAAGACCCGAGCCTGATAAAGCCGTAATTTTCGCACTCAAGACATCGCCAAACCTCAGGACCAATATTCAGCCCTAAGCCGTGAAGCCCGGGGCTTAGGGTTTAGGGCTTTTGGGGTTTAGGGTTTAGGGTTGACGTCTGCAGTAGCATGAAGCGGTGGACACTCCGGGGCAGACTTAACCTGGAGCTTTAAACCTGAACAGCAAAGCTTTATTTGGGAGTTTCCGAAAATAGAGGACCCTATTATACTTCACTAAATATTAGTTTCCTTATTAGAAGGGTCCCAAAATAAGGTACCCCTAATTTTCGGAAACTCCCATTTAGCAACACACCCGACACCGTGGCAGGAAGATTGTAATGTAGGAACCTGATTAGGAAACCCTGGGCCTCTAACCCCAAAGGAGTAGGATTCATATAGTAGAACCCTAATAAAGGTCCAAGGTTTCTTCAGGTTCCTACGGCTAGTTATCCCGCAACCCTTCTGGCGTAAGCCCTAAATACCCTATAAACTCTACACCCCGAACCCTGAAGTGTCGAACCCTAAACCCTAAATCCTAGAATACCCTAAACCCTGAAGTGTCGAACTCTAAAGGCTAAAATGCCCTGAAGCACTCTAAACAATGAAGTGTCGACCCTAAACCCTAAACCTTAAAATACCCTACGTAAACTCTGAAGTGTCGGACTTGGCCCAAAGAGTTTAGCAGCTGGCCTGTGGCAAGAGCTTGTTTAGGCCGGGTCCTTGTCCTCCAACGGTGTCGCTCTAGGGGTTTAAGGTTTGGGGTTCCGGGTTTAAGGTTTAGGGTTAAGGGCTTCGTTTCTTTCGGGGCGGGCTTGTTAATAAGCTTGCTTGTGTTCACTTGAAATTGGGTGGTTTATCATAAATGCCCTCATAGTAGACCTATAGAGCCCATCTACAGGAACCCTTAAAAGGAGATTCTCTACGGAGCCCTAGTCTTACTTAAGAACCCCACCGTGCCTGGCCGCCCAATGGCGAATATGGCCATGGAGCTGCCCCTGGAGGATCCGCCCCTACCGAACGAAGCTCCCTGGCACCCACCATATGATCTATTAAGGGTTCTTTAAGGGTTCCTATAAGGGATCTATAGGGTTTAGGGTTTAGGGGAGTTGCCGAAAATTGGGGGTACCGTTTTTTGGGGGCCCTTATAAAAAGGATCCTACTATATTAGGGGGGTCCCCTATTTTCGGAAACTCCCATATGAAGAGCCCAATTCAGGGATTAAAAAAGAACAGAAGCATAAGCATGTTCTAGGGATATCCTTATCTTATTGGGCTTCATTTGGGTGCTTGTCAAAATTTTGGGTCCCTTTTTGAGTGCCCTAAACGTTAGGTGCCGTATTATAATAGGGACCCAAGAAGGTTTAGGGTTTAGGGTTTAGGGTTTAGGGTAACTTCCCATTTTAAGGGGTTAATATGTTTCTTTTTTGATTTTGTGCCTCTTGGGGCCCTACGATTAAGGTCATTTGGGTTTTGCATTTAAGGTAATAACTTGGGTACAGCCCCCACTCAGTAATAGTTGTATAATATTCATAATATAGATATATCAGGACCTTCGTAGTAGCCCGATTATAGACTAGTAATGTATGGGGGCAGTACCTAAAGTATTTGGGGTTTGTTTTTAAGGTCATAAGGTGTTTGTGCTGATTTCAGGAAACGGAGCACTGCCGAGGTAGGGCTACGGGTGCCGTTCAAGGGATCTTGTTCGGTTTCTATTCATCAAGGTTCTGCAGTGGGCCTTAGGACTCTAGTGTTTCAGGGTTCAGATGGGGGGTTTGTTGAGTGCATGACGGGTGAGTGTATAGTCAGGCTTCAATTATGCCCAGAGCCTCCAAAACCCCTTAATTAAGGAATAGACCTTAAACCATATTAGGGATGCTATTATGATTTAAGGTATATTCCTTAATTAAGGGGTTTTGGAGGCTTTGGGTGGCAGGTCGCCGACAATGAAGACGCCAGGTTTGCTGTTTTGTGGGCTGTGGAGTTTAGACTTAGGGATCGGGATTTAGATTTGGTAGATTCCCGAAAATTAGGGGTACCTTATTTGGGGGGTCCTTATAATAAGGATCCTGCTATTTAGAGTGCTATATTGGTGTCCCCTCTTAGCGCTCGGGATCAGAAGTTTAGCGCTTCAGGGCTTCGGGCTTTTGGTTGCTCGAGGGGTTTAGGGTTTAGGGATCTTGGGGACTAGGTCATCATCGTGTGCGGGAAGGGACATTGCCAGCTGGAGTTTCGCCGTATCCCAAAGACATGGATGTCTTCAACAAGGATTCGCCGTGCTTTCCGGTTATCTTCTGCAACAGCGAGGCGCTTCTCGTTGCGGAAAGCCGAAGCCTTGGAAGTCAGTCTTGCGGAGAAGCGGGCATTGGAAGCCTTGAATTTGTTCACGGTGGCAAAGTCCCGGCGGCCCTAGTTGTGATTATGTTTCTTCTGCGACTGCTTGCATAGGAAAAAAGGAACGGGACGGTAGCGGTGATTGAGCGAAGGCAATGGCACTAAAAATAAAGAATTGGCAACGGAATCGGCACTACGAGACATTAGCAGTAACTCAAACAATAGCTTCTTCCAAGCTCATGCTTCAAGAGCAACCCAAATATGATGCTTCTTTCACCCAGCCAACGAGATCCAGCTTCGAGATGTCGGCCATGTAAAGAAAGCGAAGCGGCTCAGCGGTGCATGTCCCAAAACTCGTGTCGAGCCCTGATAGCAAGTGCATGAGCTATCGTTATGTGCACCGTGGCAATTGTCCCCCTCAAGCCGCTTGCCACAAGCGTCGGTAACGATCCGCCAAGAGAGCCGCAGGGTTCCTGCCTCAGCACAACCCCAACTTGCCATCCCAATCCGCCCTCGGAATCACCCCCAACGCAACAATCAGGATGGGAAGCTCATCGTCCACACAGACTTCGGCAACCGGAAGACCCTTTGTGGCCAGGTCAGACGGCAAGTACTGGTGGAAGTGGCAGGACAAGTGGTACGTCTACGACGGGGCCTCGCCGGCACGTTTATAGGCCAATGCCCTAGCCCAAATGCCTCTCAGCCTTCTTGAAAGCCTCCTGGAAAACAATTTGTTCGACTAATATAAGGGTGGATGAAGAGGCCCAAAGCCTCTTTCAGCCTTCTTGAAAGCCTCCTGGAAACGAATTTGTTCGACTAATATAAGGGGGGATGAAGAGGCCCAAAGCCTCTTTCAGCCTTCTTGAAAGCCTCCTGGCCCCGAATTTGTTCGACTAATATGAGGAGGGATGAACAAACCCACAGCCTCTTTCAGCCTTTTTGAAAGCCTCCTAGAAACGAATTTGTTCGACTAATATAAGGAGGCATAAACAGGCCCACAGCCTCTTTCAGCCTTCTTGAAAGCCTCCTGGAAACGAATGTGTTCGACTAATATAAGGGAGGATGAAGAGGCCCAAAGCCTCTTTCAGCCTTCTTGAAAGCCTCCTGGAAACGAATTTGTTCGACTAATATACGAGGGGATGAAGAGGCCCAAAGCTGGTTTCAACCTCTTGAAAGCCTCCTGGAAACGAATTTGTTCGACTAATATAAGGGGGGATGAAGAGGCCCAAAGCCTTTTTCAGCCTTCTTGAAAGCCTCCTGGAAACGAACTTGTTCGACTAATATAAGGGGGGATGAAGAGGCCCAAAGCATCTTTCAGCCTTCTTGAAAGCCTCCTGGAAACGAATTTGTTCCACTAATATAAGGGGGAATGCAGAGTTCACTGCAGCTTGATGGCAGGTTCACTGCAAGTTTATTACAGGTTAATTGCAAATTCATAGCAGTTCATGGCAGCTTCAGTGCAGGTTCATGGCAGATTCACTGCAAATTTATTGCAAGTTCATCCCAGCTTCACGTCCAGCATTTTACGAACGTCTACCGGCAGTCGTTTTTCTCGAGTCACGTGTGAGACCTAGCTGATCATTGTTGCATTTTTAGGTATGCTTGTCGAAAGACGAGCAGAGAGATACTTACTTGAGCAATGGAGAGTTCCCTGTTTGTCCTGCACGGCTGCTCCCGATTGCTCTGGATGCTTCTACTGCGGAAATTCCTGAAGGGCCCAGTCATCCACAGAGACCCACGGCCGGAGAGTAGACGGAAGTGGATCTCGGACATGGTGGCGCTCAATCGACACGGCCATGTGGTCAGTCCGCAACTCGGATCAACGCCGGGATGAAGCCCAGAAACATAATGGTTGGAGTGGACTGTGTGACAGGTCCACACAGTCAAACCTGCGAGCACGCGCGTCCTGACAAAATCATCCTCATTGCGGCGGCCTCTGTCTTCAATAGAGCTATGGTTTTTTTTTTTGGGGGGGGACAGTCAATCATGTGGCGGCAACCGCAGGTAAACGCTCGCATATACAAGTGCTTGCCGGAGGAGTGTTAAAAGCTCGTCGTCACCATCTCAGCAGACAATCAAGCTGTCAAGCGTGTGGCCAATGCCTATCACCGACCACTGAGGTAAGTTACCTGACGAACGACTGATTTTTTCTGGCCAGGGAACGCGATTCCGCAGAAGGCGTGCTGAAAAGATGTGATCGTCTCATAGTGCCTGGCTATACTTTGTAGAAGCGGCGAGGTGACTGTATAGCTATTGCGAATCTGCGTGTTCAGGCTCATCTACAATAGAAAGCCCGACAGAGAGGAAGGTATGAGGGGGAGAATTGGAGACTCAGTTGTCGCCATGACAGCATGTTCACATGTATGTCTGCAGTCATCTCCATCAAGAGGTCGGTAGCCACATAGACGTAACGCGGAGGCAAGATGTCTGTGGTGCTGTGTGAGCTTCCCGGCTTCGTCTGCTCTGCCTGCTTCTCAGTGCGCAGCTGGTCGGTCAACGGCTGAGACTAGAACTCATCCATGCTCCAAGGTGTGCCTCTGTTCCGACAGCTTGCTGGGCGAGGATCCGGAGAGCTCTTCAGAGCAGCCGGCCTTCCTTTGTCATCGCCTCATGTATAGTATATCGACAACGGAGTGCGTTTCTTTGTACTTGCAGGTCAGCAGTGCGCTGAACAACATGGCCTCACAGTCGAAATACCTGCCGCTTCCACAGAGGAGCCTACTTCAAAGTTCACATCGCAATGTCGCTCATACACTCCACGTCCAGGAGACCTGCAGCGAGTCGGGCGACATTACCGACTTCAGCGAGCCCGAAGACGACAAGGACACAGGGACCATCAGGCCGCATCCATTGCTTAGCATACACGTCGAAGCAGGAACCCGTATATCGCGAACCAACAGATCTACACACTGACGAGGCCCGATCAACCGGCCCCTTCGAGAGCTTTTGTAGACACAAGTGGGATGCCGGCGCAGAGGTCGACCCACGTCTCGAGGCGCCAGAGCATGACCACCAGATCCCAGACAACAGATTCTGGGGCATGCACAATCGGATTTACGCGCTGTGAAGAGGAGACAAAGCTATGCAAAGTTTTCGGACTCTAAGTTCGTAATTATGGCTTTAAGTTATGGAGCTAGGGGTACTTCAACTCCCGGTTCGATCATTTCCGCTTATTTAAAAGTACAGGACTGTTTCTTGCGAATAGACTAGACTTGAAGCACCAGTTGTGAACACCGCCTATCCGGTTGGGGGCACCGAGCCAGTCCGGCATCGCAGCTATATGCGGAGCCGCAAGTTTCATCTCTATATTGGGTGCGAGACGCAAGGTTTCACCTCTGTATTGGGTGCGAGACGCAAAATTTCACGTCTATACTGGGTGCGAGACGCAAAGTTTCACCTCTGTTCTGGGCTCGGGAACTGCACGAACGTCTACCGGTAGTCGTTTTTCTCGAGTCACGTGTGAGACCTAGCTGATCATTGTTGCATTTTTAGGTATGCTTGTCGAAAGACGAGCAGAGAGATACTTACTTGAGCAATGGAGAGTTCCCTGTTTGTCCTGCACGGCTGCTCCCGATTGCTCTGGATGCTTCTACTGCGGAAATTTCATGAGGGTGGCGGTTATGGATGCTTCTCGGGCTTTGCATATGAGTTCTTGGCGAGTGGAGCAAACAATTTGGAATGCGCCCGGTCTTTGGCGCCAGCCTACTTGAAATCTCCCCTGATCCTTCAAGGGCTCAGGATTTGTGTTATGTTTCAATACCTGAAACAGTAAACCCTAGACAGTAAACCCTAAACCCTAAACCCCAAACAGTAAACCCTAAACCCTAAATCCCAAACAGTAAACCCTACATATCCCTGCAGGTGGGAAGCCCGGAAGTGCCTGCACTACTTCCCAACCGAGCCTAAGGGTACCTTTAAAGGGATCTATTAAGGGTTCTTTAAGGGTTCCTATAAGGGATCTACAGTGTTTTTCGGGTTTAGGGGAGTTTCCGAAAATTAGCGGGTACCTTGTTTTGGGATCCTTCTAATAAGGATCCTACTATGTAGGGTACTATATTAGGATCCCCGATGTCGGAAACTCCCATGTGTCCAAAGGACCCAACAATCAGGTACTTCCGGTGGCCAACAAAAAACCGACCCTTTTAAGGAATTATAGATAGAAGCCATAATAAAGAACCCTATAAAGGTAGGTTTTTCCGGGCACAGGTTGGGTTTAGGGTATAGGGATCGTAGTTATGTTGGTTAATATTTCGGAGAGCATAGGATAAGTAGATACTTGGACCCTTAGGGTACCTCCTCTGGAACCGTGGGCTGTGCTACAGGAAGAACCTGCAAGATACAATGCCCACAACCTCCCGAACACTGAAAGCCCAACAGTAACCCTAAACAATATCAACCCTAAGAAACCCTAAACACGAAACACCAAAACCCTAAACCAGCAACAAATTTTGGAAAGGCCCCTCAGCGACAACATCACCCACTCGGCTCCATAAGCAGGTCTTTCTTATTACAGGACCTTCAAGGAGCCCTTACAGGAACCCCTATACCCAGACCCCAGGGAGGATCTCGAAAGTAGATCCCCTAATTTGGGGCCCTATACTACTAAAGGTAATTTATAGGAACCCCCATTAAGGCATCTACTTTTTAGATCCTCCAGGAAGTCTGGGTTACTAAGTCCCATGATCCTCTAAACATCACCCCGTACCCCTAATAGTAACCCTTATAGATCCCTTAAAGGAGCCCTTAGAGGAGCCCTTTTAAAAGAAGTCTTATATTCTTCAAAAATCCCTAAACCCTTATTGAACCCTTAGAAGAGCCCCTTAAGGAGCCCTTAAAAGAACCCTTATAGATCCCTTAAAGGAGCCCTTTTAAAAGAAGTAGCGGAGCCCTTGTAGGAATCCGATTGGCTCCAGATCTTAGGTCAACGATTCTCCTCGCAGAGCTCGCGTAGCCGCGCCGATAACAGGACGCTGGTCTATAAATGGGGGTTTCCGAAAATAGGGGTACCCTATTTTGGGGTCCTTATAATAAGGATCCTACTATTTGAGGTACTATATTAGGGTCCCCTATTTTCGGAAACTCCCACATGGGTAGGACAGTTAAAGGGCTTTCGGGGTTTATCGGTTTTGGGCTTTTAGGGTCCCAGGGCTCTGGGCTTTTAGGGTTTAGGGGTTTAGGGTTTTAGGGATTTAGGGAATCGGGTTTTAGGGTTAGGGTTTAAGGGGTTCAGGGTTTTCCGGGTTCAAGGCTCCAGGGTTTAGCCTGAGCCATACCTTAAACTACCCAACCCTACTTTTTTGTAGTTCCGTATTATAAACCCTAATATGGAGTTTATAGGGACCCTACTACAAAAAAGTAGGGTTTGGTAGGTTAAAGTAGATCAGAAACGTAATACATTATGCACTATGCCGTATTTCAGGGGCGTAGCGCGACCGCGTTTCTGGGCTAGGGGTTGAGGGTTCTGAAAAGGCTTCGATACGGGCTCCACATTTTTCCTATGAGCATTTTACAGGCAATGAGGGTTCAGAGTTCAGAGTTTACGGTTGGTGGCATGCTGTGTGAATGCTTGTTCGAGCGACATCAAGCATCTGAGCCCTCTGCCTGCAGCCAATACTACAGTATCCTGATCATCATCATCATCACCGTTATCAACATCATTCGATTGTTCTGTCAGCGCTGGTAAGTAATGCTCGTAAGCATAACCCTTCTTAGAGCATCATGGGACTTAGTAGTTGGGGTTATAAGTAAGGTAACTATACATATAACCATGTATAAGCCCCCCCAATTAAGGTACATATAACCTTACTTAAATTTACTGAATCCCATAGATCCCTTATAGATCCCTTTAAGGAGCCCTTTAAGGAACCCTTAAGTACTGTCAGGACTTAAGGACTCCAAGGTAGTAGTTCTACTTACAAGCCCAGAGCATGAGAGCATCCCGAGGCCAAAGCCGACTTTAACCCAGTAGCAGCCAAGAACCTCAAAGCAGCCCTAAACCCTAAACCCTATCAAACTCATATCGTTGAACTTTAAAAATTGACTAAACGCTGAACCCCAAACCTTAACTAAACCCTAAGCCCTAAACCTTAACTGAACCCTAAACCCTAAGCCCTAAACCTTAACTGAATCCTGAACCCTAAGCCCTAAACCTTAACTAAACCCTAATTAAACCTTAAACTTTAAGTAAACCCTGAACCCTAAACCCTTTAGCTTAACTAAACCTTAAGCCCTAAGCCTTAAGTAGACCCTACACCCTATACGCCCAAACGTCTCAACTCTGGAGACCCTAAAGCCGGAAAGCGCCGTAAAAACTCGATTCCCAGAGCGCAAAACATTGAAAATACATAAAAACCTACGAAAGCCCCGGGAACCTTCCTTTGAAGGGTTCCTTTAAAGGGTTACTGTCAGGGTTACTATAAGGGTTGCACTATAAGGGTGTTACTACACGGGTCCTTTAAGGGTTACTATAAGGGTTACTATAAGGGTTATACTATTGGGGTTTAGGGTTCTTGGTAGCTGTCTGGTTCTTAGTAGGGAATGGGGGAATGGATCCCTATAGTAGCCCTTATCGAATCCCTAATGACAGACTCCATAACCCAATCCCCCATTCCCTATAAGAACCAGACAGAATAGGCTTTGCCGCGTTGGGTCCGCCAAGCCCTAAAACCCGGCACTGAACCTGCCCAGAACATGTGCACCAAGCCTCAAAACCCGGTAAACCTTGAACACTAAGCCTTGTATATGGTAATTACCATATATGTATATATAAACCCTGAACCCTAAGCAGTACTCGTAGCTATAAACCATAAACCCTGAACCTTGAGCCCTTCTCGCAGCTATATATAAACGCCAAACCCAAAGCCCTATGTATAAACCCTAAAGCCTGGACCCGACCTCGACCCCCCGACTACCCCTTTATTGTAGCCTCTTAATGAGAAATATCAGAGCCCTTTTAAAGTCTACTTGGGGGGGTCTAGGGAAACCCAGCCCTAAACCCTAAACCCTAAACCCTGAAGCCTAAGCCCTAAACCCTAAACCCTGAAGCCTAAGCCTTAAACCCTAAACCCTGAAGCCTAAGCCTTAAACCCTAAACCCTGAAGCCTAAGCCCTAAACCTTAAACCCTGAAGCCTAAGCCCTAAACCCTAAACCCTGAAGCCTAAGCCCTAAACCCTAAACCCTGAACCCTAGGCCCTAAACCCTAAACCCTGAAGCAGCCAAGAACCGCTATCTCCGGTGCCGGTGGAGACGCCGAGTAGCTTCGTGGAAACCTTGCGGGAGCTCCGCAGTCTCGAGGTCCGGGCTGGTTTAGGGTTTAGGGTTTAGGGTTTCATGTAAGAGCTTCAATAATTACCTATACTTTTTTTTTGGGGGGGGGTCCTTACTTAGAGTAGGTTTTTTGGGGGGTTCATTACTATACTTATAGTATATTTTGCCCCAAAACCCTATTCTAACTATTTCGGCCCCTATATTAGGGTGTCGGGTCTACGGTTCGGGGTTTTGGGAGTTTAGGGTGTAGGGTGTACGGTTTTGGGGTTAGGGTGTGCGGTTTTGGGTGTAGAATGTTGGGTTTGGCGTTTAGGGTTTAGGGTTTAGGGTTTAGGGTTTAGGGTTTAGGGTGGATGGCTTGGTGTCAAGAGTTCAGGGCGCAGGGTTGCGGGTTTAGGGTTTAGGGTGCGAGCGAGCCGGTGCTTGGCAGCAGTACCAGCAGGTCTTGAAGAAGGACCCAGAGGAGAAGCAGACCTCCGAGGAGAGTGGGAAGAAACAGAAGGGCCTCATGATGTTGAACTGGAAGATGAGAGGCAACAAAGCCTACGGAGTCGCCACCCACTGCAAGTCCAGTGTCGTCGGCATACAGAAGAAGGAGGTATGCTTGTCGCAAAAAGAAGCAGACATGAAATGCACGGCAGACGAACTCGAACTCCACAGGGTTTAGAGTTTAGCCGCCCACCTACCATGGGTGGGCGGCGCTGAAGCCGCTCGACCTAATTAGTGCACCAGCCCGCTTGCACATACAAGCCCCAAGCCATAAACCTTAAACCGCACCAAAAACTCTTAGACCCAAAAGCCCAAAAAAGCACCAAAAACTCTTAGACCCAAAACCGCAAGCTCCAAGAACTCTTGAACCCAAAAGCCCCAAAATACCTCAACCCTAAACCCCTAAACCCTAAACCCTAAACCCCTAAGCCCCAAAGCCTCGAAGCAACAGAAGCCCCAAACCCTTGAGGAGAGCCGCAAGTTCCTAGGAACGCGCAGGTACCTCTAGGAGCTCAAAAAAAAGCCCGAGGACTCCTGGTATTCAAATACTCGGTTTCAGGCATATGTGTATGTATATATATATATATATATGTCGTATGGTTGATCACCTGCCAATATCAATGCGTATACATATATATATCTAGGTATGTATATATACATATATGTATATATCCTCTATAGGCTTACATAGAGGGAATACTTTTTTGTATCATGTTATATTTTGTTTTATTGAATCAGGTTAGGTTACATACGAGATAGTCAGTACCCCAACATTACGGTGTCTGGAGCCATCGGGAAGCCCGAAGCCTCGTGTGAGGAGAGGCTGCTGCGGGCGCACGAGATGGAGGTCGGCGTCGGTGGCGAAATTTTAATCCCTAAACCCTACACCTTAGGTACTGCCCCCCTTACAGTAAGAGTCTATAATAGGGCTACGATTAAGGTCCTAATATATCTGTATTATGAATATTATTCAACTTTTGCTGAGTGCGGGCCGTACTCAACCTACACCCTAAACCCCTGAACCCCAAACCCTAACCCCAAACCCTTAAACCCTAAACCCAAAACCATTAAACCCCAAAACCCTAAACCGATGGAGGTCGGTGCCGGTGGCAGTCCCACACGGCGGAGCGGCAAGCGACACTCGACCAGTCGATGCCCGAGAACAGTTTGGGGAGCCTCAATGCTAACCCTAAACCCCTAAACTTTAAACCCTAATTAAACCCTAAATAAACCCTAAACCCTGAACCCTAAACCCTAAAGCCCTAAATGGCGCTCAACCCTAAAACCCAAAAGTCGAAACGCTACTGTTTATGCCTGGGCTTCTGGCACATGAGATACTGCGGCGGTAAATTAATTACTTTGGCCAGGGTGTAGTGTACTGGGAATGTCACAGCAAATGCCCTGTTTTCAGTTCTGGAATCTCTGGGAGATTGAGATTTAGACATTCAATGACTTTCTACGAATTGGTACCTCCTGGACAACAAAAGGAAAATTGAAAAGTGCAGAGTATTGCATAATGTGCTGTGAAGCAGACACAACAGCCTAAAAACCTAATCCCTGAAGCCCCAGAACTCAGATTAATAAAACCCAAAAACGAACGCGCCTTTACAACCCTGTTAGTATGCCCCTCCATTTCAGGTTCACGTGAGGTTTCTGGTGATCATTCATGGAGCTGTATGTTCAGGATTCGGGAATGTTGTAGCGTAGCCCGGCAAGAGTCGGCGTTGCAACGCATTTCATGCCCTGTAAGTGAGGAATATGTCAACACAACGGAGATTTATGGAGGCATTCGCAATACGGTGGAACCTTCACTGGTTCATGAAAGGATATTGTGCTTTACTCTTAGACCTTGAATCGCCCATCAGAAACCAATGAAGCCCTGGACAACCCTGTAGGGGAATCTGGCGTGCTAAATCCTGAATCGAAACCCTTGTTATTTCCAGCTCACACAGGACTTAGGGGTACTTAGAAATATTTTTTAGGTTTTGGTAATTATAATCCCTAGGAAACGGCTAAAATCATAATTTTTGCTAGGGTTCTAAGTTCAGTATAGAGGAGCACGACCCATTGAGCCAACCGTCAGACCCAGACGACTTTTAGCTATGGAATGATTAGGCCGTGTGCATACAAAACTGCAAGCCCTTAATTTGTTTGAGAAACTTACGTTGTTTAAGAAGAACCAAGCTACCGTAGGAAGGATGGGTTATCCTATTCACTATACAGAAGACCTGAGCCGTAAGGGGAACAGGCTCGCGAGACTTATGTAGTAACATCGAAGGTAGCCTTTAAGCTTTTGGGGGTGCTATATGGTCTCAAAGGCTATAACCTTTACTTGGCGTTCTTCTGGCTGGCTCCTAGGACTTTAACTTTTTGGGTTTCTATATGAACTCTAACAAGGAAGCTAAAAGTTTAACTTTCAGCAGGGGTTCAGAAGTCAGCCAAGTTTAGTTCCCCAAGCCTACTGGACAAGTCAGGGACAGGGCTTGCGAGATGCGGGACAGGAGCTGTTCCGGATCTTCTATTTTAAGCTCAGGGTTTAGGGTTGAGGGTTTAGGGCGTAACTTCGGTTGAGGCTTGACGGCTTAGGGTTGAAGTTTTGGGTTTAGGATTTAGGGGGGTTAGACGGTACCCCTGCGTGGTCCCGTCCGCTCAGGTGGACCTTCGCTGACTTTGCCAATCGGGGGCAAGGATTTGGAGGCACCGCTGTCGGGGGCAAGCACAGCGGCAAAACAAGGCATTACCACCTACCACTACTACGACGACGACTACTGACTACTGCCACCACCACTGCTAATAGCATTATTGTTCTCATTACTATTAGAAATTGGTGTTCTTCTGACTTACTACTACTACTACTACTACTGCTGCTACTACTACTACTACTACTACTACTACTACTACTACGACAACGACAACTGCGACTACTACAACTACTACCTCCACCTCTGCTGGTACTACTACTGTTATCATTGCTGAATCATAACTGTTGTTGCTGCTGCTACTACTACTACTACTACCACTACTACTACTACTACTACTACTGCTACCCTTGCCATACTTCCTTCGTCGAACGCAGCAGTGGGCTTTCACCTCCCCAGGAAACATCGTCATTGTGATGATGCGTTGTTCCACTGCTCCGCTGACCGTGACGCCCCGAACCGAAAGAAAGCAAAGCAGTCGCACGATTCAATCAGAAACTAAACCAGCACATCAGCAACTACAGGCACAGCTTGTATGTTGGGGTCTAGACTTTGGGTTCAGGATTTACGTACTGTTATTATAGTCGTGGTCCTTGGGGTTTCTGTTCTTGTTGAGTAGGCTGGCAAGTAGGCTGGCAAGTCCGTGCCCCTTCCTCTTCAAGTAGAAATGATGCGGCAGCACACTCACCGCGACGAGGGCGATGATGAGTCGCCGCGCTGCGGGCGCAGATTACAGAGCGAGAGGAATTGCTGTTCACTACACTACACTGCACTACACTATACCACGCTCTACTGTACGTTACTGGTGTATGCTTTTCTGCAATACGATATTAAACTAAACCCTGAACCCCTCAACCCCTAAACCCCTAAACCCTAAACCCTAAACCCTAAACCCAAAACAAAATGAGACACATAGCAGCACCATGCGGACCAGGGAAGGGGTGTCGAATCCCGAAGGCTCCATGTACCCATGTAGTAATGTAGTATCTACTTAGGCCTTAAACCCAGACTGCCGGAAGGATCTAGAAAGTAGATCCCCTAATTTGGGGCCCTGTACCACTAAGGGTACTTTATAGGAACCCCTATTAAGGGATCTGCTTTTTGGTCTGGGAAGGGGCACCTATGCAGATATTCAAAGGCCTAAGTATATACTATATGGGAGTTTCCGAAAACAGGGGACCCTAATATAGTATTCAAAATAGTAGGATCCTGATTATAAGGACCCCAAAATAAGGTACCCCCTTATTTTCGGAAACTCCCATATAAGCACATGGAGCCTTACGGAATGAGCTTCGGCAACGTGAAGCCGGCCTGCGCCCGGTCTCGCCGATACCCTGGAAGATGGTGCGCGATCTTAGAACGTAGTGTCGTATTATAATATGTTATATTATGGCACATTGAATCATATTACAGTATACTAGAGTTTATACAAGTAAAATATACCATTTTGTAGTTTATCATCGTAGTATATATATATATATATATGCTACCCCCCCCTCAGGTACCCAGGTTTTCGTCTTTGTGCTGATAGCACGAAGGAAGTCGGACAGAAAAGGCTGCAAGTGCACCCGCATGCTCGCGATAAGCCGACATATAGTACTAGTAGTGAGCGAGTGTGACAAACTGCAGGGTATGGCGAAGCAGGCCTACTGAAACCCAGTAAGAGAAAGAACTTTGCACGGCATAGAAAATAGAAGTGATACTGTAGCATCCCCAAGGCCATGAACGCAGATTTCGGATCAAGGTGGATAGTGGCTATGTTTAATTGGCTGTCGTTATGGCTTTTTACACACGCAACAATGTCATTGCTGTGGTGGGTGTTGCAGTCTCTCACATGAATTGCTGTGTTCATTGGTTCATACAGCCATATATGGAATAAGCCTAAAGCAGTGTCATATAGTGTCAGTATACTTGTCAAAACCTTCAGTCTCCGCAGCACTGTACAATGATTCATGCGTGTCTGTCAAATTAGCAGTCAATAGCGACAAAGTATGAAATCGTGTTTCACGACGGTGTGTGTAGGCTTCGCAATTGTTACTGCAAGTATAGTCTCCATTGCCTTAGGAATCCGATCTCCGTTTCTTTTCCCAGTCATGAAACTGCTACATGTTCTGTTCTTCTATATCGAGCTCAAAATGTCAAGTGTGGTTTTAATATTACCTCTCACAGTGTTGTTATCACATCTTGCAAATTGCCATTATTCCTGTTACAGTGGTTATCATACTTCACCAATACCAGGCCATTTAGGACCATGTACCACCCGGCTTGTTTAATTTTTGCATCAAGTGTTACTGTGTCAATTACTGTTCTGATTGTTCATTCAGACTGCTTCGTATATTGTTCGGGAACCTTGCTTAATTGTAGCCAAGCATTATAAAGTCAATGAAGTACCTGCTGAGTCCTGTGTTTTATACATTCTGCTAGGTTGAGTATAAACCTACCAGAGAACACCACGTGAATACGTACACTTGTGTTTCAAAACACTTCTTGGTAGGATGATGGTTAACCAAGTCACACATTTGCTTGCTTTTTACCTGCTGAGAGTGGGTTGTTAGTCTTCCAAATCAAACATGATCCAACACGCCGGGGCTGCGTGTTACACGCTAGGTTGTATGTTGCAGTTAATTAGTTCGACTATAGTTTTTTCACGTCAGGTGACTTCGACATGTTTAATCCGAGTGCAGTTCATCAAAAGTGCGTGCATCATACAGGTAATATCCATTTTATTGTTCGCAGAATCGTTTTCGAAAGTCTGCACCTACCAAATGATGACAAGTTGACAACGATGTATGTCAGAATTCTGGTGCACATGGTAGTCTTTTGACTACGGGCTCTTTGTTTTTTTGTAAGCACCAGTGCCACACCAAAAAAGAATACACAACCACAACGACCAAAGACCCCCATGCAAACACCAAGCAACATAAGTAGATCCTTCTACATTTATCTTAAGAAGTGGGTGATTAAGCCAGCTAAGCTTGGTCGTGCAGCAATAGCTTTCCTACAATAAATTTTTGAATCTTAGACATGGAGTACAGCCTTGTATGTGATAAACAGAAAACCCATGAACTGGTGTTCCCACAGTAGTGTCTTCAAGCGGAGACCATGAATTACCTAGCTTCGTGTTGGACCAACTAGTGAGCTTAATCAAGGATGCAAATACCTTACCGGCTTGTCTGTAAAACGCCTCGCACGAGTACGTAAGATATGCTCAATCGCAACTTTCGGTAACAACATATTGAAATATGTACTGTGGAAAATGTTGCCGAAACCAGCATGTTCAACCATTCCCATAGATCTGGAGAAACTTCGGGAGCCGGAGCCGCAGTTTCGGGAATAATGGAAGATGTTGGTAAAACCAACACTTTCCATGATCCCCCTTCAGACAAATCATGGAAATTGTTGGTCGCACCAACGTTTCCAGCAATTTCCATGAATTTGGAAAAACCTCGGGAGCCCGCACCATAGTTTCGGGAATCATGGAAATTGTTGGAAATGTTGGTAAAACCAACAATTTCCATGATTCCCCTCAGAGAAATCATGGAAATTGCTGGTTTTACCAACATCTCCAACAATTTCCATGAATTTGGAAAAACCTCGGGAGCCCGCACCATAGTTTCGGGAATCATGGAATTTGTTGGAAATGTTGGTAAAACCAACAATTTCCATGACTCCCCTCAGAGAAATCATGGAAATCGTTGGTTTTACCAACATTTCCAACAATTTCCATGAATTTGGAATAACCTCGGGAGCCCGAGCCATAGTTTCGGGAATCATGGAAATTGTTGGAAATGTTGGTAAAACCAACAATTTCCATGATTTCTCTGAGGGGAATCATGGAAATTGTTGGTTTCACCAACATTTCCAACAATTTCCATGAATTTGGAAAAACCTCGGGAGCCCGCGCCATAGTTTCGGGAATCATGGAAATTGTTGGAAATGTTGGTAAAACCAACAATTTCCATGATTCCCCTCAGAGAAATCATGGAAATTGTTGGTTTTACCAACATTTCCAACAATTTCCATGAATTTGGAAAAACCTCGGGAGCCCGCGCCATAGTTTCGGGAATCATGGAAATTGTTGGAAATGTTGGTAAAACCAACAATTCCCATGATTCCCTACAGACAGATCATGGAAATTGTGGAAATTGTTGGCTTTTCCAACATTTCCAGCACGTTCCATCGATTTGGAGAAAGCTCGGGAGCAACAATACAGTAGACGCTACACTTAGAAGCCCAGGGAGCCACAGTAAACGAAAACGTGCTTTCCCAGAGACGCAGTGACCAAGGAACACAAACAAATATTAGGGACAAGGTGTCTGGCTTGAACAGGACACAACCTGGGTACCGGCATGGGGGGGTACCATATATATATATATATAGAGAGAGAGAGAGTCTTGTACAGCATAGTATGGATTTCTATGATTAGTAACGAGCTCCTGAGCGGGCTTCTTGCGCGATACCAGAAGAGCGACCTAGGAGAAGAAGCTCGGTTCCCTGGGCAGCGAGAAAGATGCCAACGGACGAAAAGGTTTAGGGGTTAGGGGTTTGGGGGCTTGGGGTTTGGGGTTCGCAACAGGGTTTACGTAAGGTTTAAGCCCAAGAGTACCTGAAGAAATGATGGAAGCTACCTGAAGAGCTCAGGACCCTTCGTGTACCTGCAAATAGGGACATATGTGGTCCGAAAGACTTTGGACTAATTGAGGGTGGATGGAGGCTCTACTTAGAGGATCATGGGACTTAGTAAGTCGGGTTATATGTAAGGAAACTATATTTATAACCACTTATAACCCCAATTGAGGTACTTATAACCTTACTTACTAAGTCCCATGATCCTTAATGTAGGGACTTGGTGATGGGCAGCTGCCAGACCACATTACGTCTTTGATGGCATGCTCGTGCCGGGCCTCAATTGCGAAACAACCCGCAACCCATCGCTGAACCCGTAAGGGTGGACCATGGTGGACGCATGAACCTTAAAGCAGTGTTGGGAAACACGCCTCATGCCTAAACCATTAAGATGCTCACTACAGCCTGAACCTAAAATCGAAAACTTATCGGCTTACAGGAAGCCCTAAGCCCATCCAAATCGGAGTACCTTCATACCTTAACGTACCCAAACCCCCCCTGTTTTGCAGGGTTTGCAGAGACCCTGAAAATCTGCATATTAGGGCTCATAAGATGAACCTACAAAAGAGGTAGTCGCCATCCTCAACCTAAACCCATTCAGTGTGCAGGGTTTCGGTCCTTCTTCGGTTGATGATATAAATCCTGCATGGCCCATAATAAAGCATATACCATAGTTCCCATAGTTTAGGATCATTAAGGTAAGGCAGGATGTATATCCTAAACCCTCAACCCCCTATAGAGCCCTTAAAGGAACCCCTTAAAGGTGCCCCTTTATGGATCCCTTTAAAGGGAACCCTAGGATTTCTATCATGAACCCTAAACCCTAACACCCTATGGATCCCTTAAAGGAACCCCTTAAAGGTACCCCTTTATAGATCCCTTTAAAGGGAACCCTAGGATTCATATACTTCCATAGGCGACATTAAAGGAGCCCCTTAAGGGTACCCTAATTAGATCCTTTTAAAGGGAACCATAGGATTTCTATCATCAGCCGTTCCGCAGGCGACGACGGGTGATCTCGAACCTCCGGCTCGGGATCCGACGTCTCCAGCAGGTGCCGGGTTTGGGGCTTCCCTGAACCTCCAAAACCCCGTAATTAAGGAATATACCTTAAACTATATTAGGGATCCTACTATGATTTAAGGTATATTCCTTAATTAAGGGGTTTTCGAGGCTCTAGGTTGGGGGCCATGCCCACCAAGTACCAATATTGTAGGGTTTGGGGCTTAGGGGCCATGCCAAAAAGCCCAAATACGAATATAGTAGCTACATAATAGATGCTTGGGCTCCCAAAGTGTGTTCTATACCATTACATGGACCCTTCGGGATGCGAGAAGATAGACCCGTGGGTGTAGGGTGTAGATTATTCAAGATTTAGCTTGTTCGCCCGTTTTTATGACCCCTCCGTGTGCACATCTTAAGCTGTGTGTATAGGTATGTGCCGACACAAGCATGTATGCGCGCTCGCATGCATGCATGCATGTACTGACGTCCGCATGTCTGCATGTCTGTCTGCATGCATGTATGTAATGAATGCATGCATGCATGCATGCATGAATGATTGATTGATTGATTGAATGATTGATTGATTGATTGAATGAACGAATGAATGAAATGAATGAAATGAAATGAAAATGAAAATGAATGAATGAATGACTGAGTGAGTGAATGAATGAATGAATGAATGATGAATGAATGAATGAATGAATGAATGAATGAACGAACGAATGAATGAATGAATGAATGAACGTATGCAATTATTTACGTATGATCGTATAGACACAAGCAAGCATGCATGTATTTGTATGTATGGATGACCTCATTGTTGGATGTATGCATTTATGCAAATTACGTGTGTACGTATGTATGCACTTATGTATGTACGGCTGTACGTATGTATGCATGTAACGTATGTACATGTGTGTATAGGTACGGATGTACGTATGTACGTACGTTTGTGCATAATTATGTACATAATATATATATATATATATATGCATGTATGTCTGTGTATGTATATATGTATGCATGCATGGACGCACCGGGGTGCGTCGCAATTAATTAGTTCTCTTGACAGTCACCGCTGGAGTTTTGTTCGGAGAGCGGGCCCGATCAAGCCAGGATCAGTTCGGTTCAGACGACTGGCGAACCACTTCGAAGATCACGGGAGTGGGACTTAGTAAGGTTTGAATTTAAGAACCTTCATCAGGGTTACAAGCAATTATAGTCCCATCATCCTCTAAGAAGGACCTTTCAAGGTACCTGTGATGGAGCCATTATGGTGCCGACCCGTTGATATCTGGGATATTCTAGAGGGCAGCCGGAGGTTCTCTGCGCGGTTTAGCGTTGGGCAGGGTGGAAGTTTGGTTTAGGGTTTACTATAGGGGCTTAATTACAGCATAATGGGCCCGAGAGCCCCAGTCTTATTGTTAAGGCCCCTAAAATAGGGGATCTAGATCCTGGGGGTTCCTTTAAAGGGATCTATAAGGTACCTTTAAGGGGCTCCTTTAAGGGGTCTATAGGGTTTTAGGGGTTAGGATTTCGGGTTTTTTTTTGAACCCCCACAGGATCCTCTGAAGTATTGCCCTTGAGGTAATGTAAGTATCCACCAAACGGTCCTAAGTACCGGTAGATAAGTAGAAAGTAGCGTTTCTATAGTAGGGAATTACTATCAGATGGTTTAGGTTTAGGTAAGTATCCCCCACATAGGTACTTAGGACCCTTGGGGTCGCCCGAAACCCTACACGGCCCCCTTTACCGTCGAGCCCGACGCAGGGCGCATGAAACGGCGACCTTCGGCTGAGGTCGGACCTTCCTGGGGGTTAAGTGCGTACCATGGGTCGGTCATGGGACTTAGTAACTAGGGTTATACTTAAGGCAACTATACTTATAACCCCAATTAAGGTACTTATAACCTGACTTACTAAGTCCAATGATCCTCAACTTGTAATGTAGGAGCATGAATACGGTTGATGATATAACCCTGCAAGACCCATAGTAAGGAATATACCGTAATTCCCATAGTTTAGGGTCACTGAGGTAATGCAGGATTTATATCATCAACCGTACCATGGGTTCTGAATAGCTGGATGCCCAGTAGGACCCTTATTCCCTTTTTGTAGTCCTAGGTTCCCTATCATGCTACCCAATACCAAAACGGGAGCCCTTTTTATTCCTAGGTTACTGGGCATCCTAGATATCCTAGATAGTTAGCTAGGAGTATGTAATCTAGGAATCTGATTAAGAAACCTTGGGTCTTCCTTAGGGTTCCTTATATGAGTCCTAGTTTATTGCGGTTATAGGGCCAGGGTTTCTTTATCAGGTTCCTACATTATGTATGTGTGTATGTATACAGATAAATATATATATATATATATATATATATACATATATATATATATATATACAGAGGGTTCCGTGAATAGTTAGCTAGTAGTACCATCATTTTGGGATTCAGGGTTTGGAATACTTAACTAGTAGGACCATGTTTCGAGACTCTTCAGCTTAGGGCTTACAGCACTAGTTGTTTAAGCGCTTCTTTGTACACACACACACAGTATAGTATAGTGCCCCAAACCCCGAGTCTAAGTATGAAGGCCCTGACAGTGAGGAGTCTTTTTCGGGATTGCCCCACCTACCTTCATCTCACCTGTTGAGACGATTGATTCGAGGATCCTTCTCTTTGGCCAATGTCTGCCAAGCTCGTGATTTACTTGTTGTGGGCGTATTGGCCTGGGGCTCACCCCCGCTCAGAGCTACTCGCAGCATAGGGATTTACCAGTTAGAATAGGAATTCGGTGTAGATTATGTGACAGTTGAATAACATGTTATACTAAGGAGCTCTTTTCTAAATCTGATCCTCCTATACTTGTTGATCCTATCCCTAAACCCGAAACCCTAAACCCCTAAACCCTAAACTCTATACCCTATACCCTAAACCCAACTAACCCCAGTTGGGGGGGCCTTGCGGCCCTTGGGTGCCAAACCTTAACCTTAAGACCTAAGCCCTCCACGCCAAGCTCTACTTCTGGACCCAGGCCCTTCGAAACAGTGGTCTACTACAGGGGCCTTAATAATTTACCTACACTATTTTGGGGGTTCCTTAGTATAGCTATAGTAGAATGGCCACAAAACCCGAGTCTAATTAGTAAACCCATGCCCTACGAAACGCGGGTTATGACCTCATATTTTATTTGTAAGATCTCACTTTCAAGGCAGTAATTACGTTGGATCCATAGGTACACAGTCAACCCTAAACCGCCCGTCTTTTGCAGGATCTTCCGCCGATAAGCAAGATGGCCTCAGCAGGCGTGGTCGTTGTCAGCTGCACCAGCATTTACTCAACAAACACATATCGCTTGAGAATTTCGACGGTCACTGGTGAGAGCCATTTGTATTTCTAAATCCTGAGCGGTATAGTCTTCTGAACCATAACTCTACCCACAATACAATCATCAAATATGAAACCTGCCCTAAACCATTCCAAAGCCCGATAGGGCCGTTCTCAAAAGAATGTAAACCTTCTTAAAACATCTTTGTAAATTTCCCCGGGGTCGCTGTGCAGGTGTGAAGATTTAGGAAGTTCCGTGTTTTTTTGGCAGTGTTGGCTCTTAGGTATTCGCATCTAGCATGTCGCATTTAAGGTTTTCTGGCAGTCAGGTGGAGTTCAGCAGCTTGTGCGTTTCAGTGCCCCAAAATAAGGGTTCAGGGATTACTTAAATGATCAGGGGTTATTAAATTGGAAGGCTACCAGGGCTTAGTCTTCAGGGTACCTGGTGTGTGGTGCCTCCGAGGTGAACTCTTTCCTCAGGCTCCATTCTCCAAGACGTTGAGGGACTACTTAGAGGATCATGGGACTTAGTAACTAGGGTTATAAGTAAGATCCTCCAAGTACTAGACAGTTCAACCCCCCATAGCATAACCCTTGTAGTAACCCTTATAGTAACCCTTTAAAGGAACCCTTTAAGGAACCCTGGTATCTAAGTCCCATGATCCTTTAAGCCAACCTCGAAGCACGGGTTGTGTGGCTTATTCACCACCTACCGAAAACGGCTGCTGATCATCAGCTTCCAAGATCTCAGGCAAGGGTTTAGGGTTTGATTAGGGTTTACCCGAAGGGTCCATGTACTCAGAAGGCATATACTTTGGGCCCAATGTATCTATATAGGGAGTACTTCAAGGCCAAAGTATATACTATCTGGCTACATGGACCCGTAGGTTTAGGGCGACTCGGGTCGACCCGGGGTCGCCGCAGAGTCTTGCAGAGGCTTTGATCTCCCGCAAAGCCATCCTGAAGCCCATCGAGTGGCTCCTTCAGGGTTTAGGGTCTGCCATTTTTGGGCGGGTCACATCCGTTTCAAAATTAGGGTTTAGGGTTAAGGGTTTTATTAGGGTTTAATTAGGGTTTAGGGTTTAGGGTTGATTAAAAGGTACCGTGGTTACACTAGGTACACATTCGGCTCTATACCCGATCCCTACCCCAACACTCAACTGGCTAAGTTACCCAGAGGGTCCAAAGCTATGGAATTAGGTCCCAACAGAACATCCATAACAGAAGTCTATATAGACCCTCTTGGTTGTGGCACTTGAGCTCACCCGGAATTGCATGAAATAGCGAGGTTGCTAAACTGATGAACATCTGACGTAAGGTCACAGGCAGTCAGGGTTGAGGGTTTAGGGTTGAGCTTTTATGGGCATCCGGAAGAAGGGATGCTACAGACTATTCGTTAGATAACTTGAGTTGGATCCTTGCAAGACACCAGAACTTTCCCTGCGAGTACGATCCGGAGCAGCAGAATCAAAACATATAGCTGAAATTACTTACCGTTATAGTAAGCAGCCATTAAGGGAACCCTTGAATGAGCCCAGTTCCAAGTTTTGAAAGAAGCCCCAAAGTATATAACGCTCATTTTGAACCCCAAGGATCCCTCAAAGGAGCCCTTAAGCCCCTTAAACCGTCAATTGAACCCCGTCAACCCTCAAAGGAATCCTTCAGGGAGCCCTCAAGCACAGGATCTTGCAGATCGCCACGCAGCTCAACCACTTTTCGAAGATTGGTGAGTGTTGGCGCCGCCGCCCGTCCCGGAGTGTTTCGGGTTTTAGGCTTTTTTAGGGTTTCAGGGCGTAAGTAGCGGTGCTGCGGCCTGTCAATGTGCTTTTGGGGGTGTTACTCATGGTTGACCTACATGTTTTCCGTGTTGGGACAGCCTGTTGCGCAAATGCTCAAGCCAGCTCAAACCAAAACCCTAAACCCTAAACTGCTTCAGCAAGCCCCAAACGAAGCACAAATTACCAGTCGTAACACTCTGTCATCCGAACGAAAATGCTAATGTTGTTGCCTAAGCCCCTTTAACTAAGGACTATACCTTAAATTATATTAGGGATCCTATTATGATTTAAAGTATATTCCCTTAATTAAGGGGCCAAACCCTAGGGCAAAGCTGGATGACTAGCCCTAAGGGTCCATGTACCCAAATCGTATATACTTTGGACCCAATGTACCTATATAGGGACTACTTTAAGGCCAATGTATATACTATTTAGGTACATGGGAGTTTCCGAAAATAGGGGACCCTAATATGGTACCCTAAATAGTAGGATCCTTAATATAGGGACCCCAAAATAAGGTACCCCTAGTTTTCGGAAACTACCATATATCATTTAGGTACATCGACCCTTAAACCCTAAACCCTAAACCCTTAAAGGAACCCTTATAGGAACCCTTAAAGGAACCCGAAGAGGGGAGCAGGGTACATGGACCCTTAGGGAAGGCCAGCAGCAGGCCTGACTCTGCCCCCCCCAAGAAGCCATGGGCCTATGCAATCGCGATCTATCAGGCTAATTGCCTGGGAAAGGTTTGCAAAACCAGGCCGAAACGACCATAGATCGTGGTCTGATACTCTAGGGCCTTTGCATTTTGTTTTGAAGCTTTTTGCAGCGTTTTCGTAAGTTTCCGACGCTCCGAAGAGGTGTTTGTTGTTAGCACGAAAGCGTTTCTATGGTGAGTGGATATGGGACTTCTCGGAACATTGGCGGTGTACTAGAGGGGCCCAAATAATTGCCAATACTATTTGCGGGGCTCCTTATTTTAATTACAGTATAACGGTCACCAAAACCCTCTTCTAATTATTACGGCCCCTGTATTTCATGTGGGCGGTCCTGTTGTTGATAAGCCGGTGATTGCAACTTCAGCAAAGTGTAGCGCCAGCGGCCTGCAAACTACTAAACTGCAAACCCCTAAACCCCAAACCCGAAACCCCGACACCCCCAAGCCCTAAACCCTAAACTGTGAACCCCTAAACCCTACACCCTAAACTCTAAACCCTAACCCTAAACCCTAACCCCAAACCCTAAACCCTAAACTCCTACACCCTAAACCCGGAAAAACCCTAAACTCCCAACCCTAACCCTAACCCCCCAAACCCTAAACCCTAAAGCCTAAAGCCTCGCCCCTTGCTAAAAGGGTGCCTTCCGTGAACGACCACGGTCCAAGCGGAAAGATGGGTTTAGGGTTTAGCTTATAGGGTAGTAAGGGGTTTAGGGTTTAAGGATTAATAGGGTTTGATTAAGGGTTTAGGGTTAAGGGTTTAGGGCCTAGGGTTTGGGGTTTAAGCATTAAGGGTTTAGGGCTTGGGGTGTAGGGGTTTGGGATTGAGGGTGTAATTTCGGGTTTAGGGGTTTGGGCGTTAGGGGTTTTGGGTTCAGGGTTTAACAAGGGGTTTAGGGTGAAGTGATTCTTGTGTTTTCGAGGATGACGTGCAGGTCTTCGTGGTTTTGGTTTCAGGACCGAAAAGGCCAGTTTCCAAGCAGGAGAAAGGGTACCAATCATCCTCAAAAAGCCTAAGCCCTTAAACCAAAACTCAGTTGGAGGGTTGTGTCTAACATGCTTAAACAAATACAAACCTAGACACTTCAGTAAAAACCTTAAACCGTACTGCAGATTCAACTCAGGATGCTGAGTGCTCCATGAACGTCACTGCAAGGCTGGCGCAGGACGGGTGAGTTTGGGACCGGGACGCGGCAGTCTTGTGACTGGTGCTTCAAGGATCATGGGACTTAGTAAATAGGGTTATAAGTAAGGTAACTATACTTATAGCCACTTATAGCCCAGTTAATTTAAGGTACTTATAACCTTACTTACTAAGTCCCATGATCCTCCAAGTGGTTTCCAGTGGGGCAGTTTTTGATACTTCTCCCCAGAGACACCAATATGCCTTAGTACAGGAATATACCGTAAGTTATACTCGGATACCTAATAGCGTTTAAGGAATATTCCGTAGTTAAAGGATAGCGGAGTCTTTTGTTGATCAATCTTTTCGGAAGCAAGAAATTACAGGAACGGGCTCCTGCTACTGCGACAAGCAACGACCGCCCATACGGTGCATCTGGTGCATCTAACGCGCGTGCCTTATCCGTGCGAGTAGCTTACCCTAAGGTTGTTAGGTACCATTACCTTTGATTTTGCTGACTGTACCATAGAACTCAAAGCCCAAGAGTGTCAAGTGAGCTTCTGGAGGAAGCGCACTGTAGTGTTCCCTACAATGCGGTCTGGGGTAGTGTGTCGAGATTGGGGGCCCCTCAAGAGTGTTTGGTGGTTTTGGGGGTTTAGGGTTTCTAATTACGGTTGTCTAAACCCTAAACCCTAAACCCGTTGATACACATTCATCTGGAATTTCTGCAGCTGCACAGCCTATATCCTAGACCCTGGCACCTGCACAAAAGTTCGGCAACGAAGAGCCTGAAGCATCTAGGGTTTAGGGTTTAGGGTTTAGGCCTTTGGGACATTTTATGTTTTCCTTTATTGGGCTTAATAGGACCTTATTTACGAAAAAAATTCAGAGGCTCTAAAGGGCCAACCTGGAAACTCTGAACCCCCGCAACCCTTAAAGCCTTAAAGCCTGAAGCACAATAATACTCCCTTAAAGTCAGTGTGCCGAAAGGGGATTTTCCCAAAATAGGGACCCCAAATAGTACGATCCTTATTATAAGGACTCCAAAGTAAGGTGCCCCCTTATTTTCGGAAACTCCCATATACTTCAGGTACCGTGCACGGATCACAAGGATCAGGCTTGTAACTACTGTAGGGAAGTGAAGGGTATCAGGCTTACCCTTATCCTCCGGTTGATGGTATAAATCTTGCATTACCTTAATGGCCCTAAACTATTGGATTTATGGTATATTCCTTATGATGGGTAATACAGGATTTGTATCATCAACCGTCGCGATACAAAATTCAAGAGCATGCCGTAAGGGCTCAACATCTGCCGTAGTGTTCTGCACGTTCCCTAAGACTCCATGTGCTCGTATAGCAGGTACTTAGGCCTTAAAGCGGTCGCTATATATACTTTAAGGCTTAAGTGCCTACTAGATGGGTGCATGAAGAATTTGGGTTTTGGGGCATAACCCTAAGGGTCTACAGGACCTAGAGGGTTTGGGATAGTAGTATTGCAAGTTTACTACGTATTTGGGAGGGTACATGATTATGAGATACTTGGACACTTACATAAGGTACCACAAGACTCCAATATCCTTTAATTGCGGAGTAATCCGTAAATCATATTAGGGATCCTACTATAGTTTAACGTATATTCCTTAAGTAGGGCATATTGGGTCTCTGGGTAACAGCGCATCCTTACTCTGCAGGAGGTGAAACTCGTCTCTTCGCAGCTGGAGGCGGGAAAGGGTTCGGCTAGATGGGAGGTTCCGAAAGTTAGGGGGTACCTTTAAAGGGATCTATAAGGGTTCCTATAAGGGATCTATAGGGTTTAGGGTTTGGGAGTTTCCATAAAATTAGGGGTACCTTCTTATGGAGTCCTTATAAGGATCCTACTCTTTAGGGTACTACATTACTTGGAGGATCATGGGACTTAGTAACTAGGGTTCGAAGTAAGGTAACTATACTTAACCCCAGTTAAGGTACTTATAACCTTACCTATAGCCTCCATTGTAGCTCCTTTTTTTGGTTAACCAGTTTCATGGTTAGGATCCCATAATAGAGATTTTGGTTAACCAAAAAAAGGAACAAAAATGGAGACTATAGGTACTTACTAAGTCCCAGGATCCTCGAAGTACCACGAAAACCCTTGTAGATTCCTCATAGTAGCCCTTATGGATCCCTTAAAAGAACCCTTTAAGGAACCCTAGGCCTTACTAAGTCCCATGATCCTCCAAGTCGGGCCTCTCCTCGTGGAAACCACCACATGACATCGGGAGGGTACCCCTATTTTTTTGGAAACTCCCAAACCCTAAACCCTATAGATCCCTTATAGGAGCCCTTACCCCATGGGTCCAACGGACCCAATAATTAGGTACTCGGTTTTAGGATAGTAGTTATGTAGGTTAGGATTCTGGAGAGTATATGATTATTGGGTACTTGGACCCTTGGGGTTAAAGCCTTAAAGGAACCCTTATAGATCCCTTTAAAGGTACCCCCTAATTTTCGGAACCTCCCATGTAGCCGAACGAAGGTGCGACGGCAAGATGTAAGTGTTCAGGGTTCAGAGATAAATACCAAGCTGCGAAGCTTTTGGCTTATCACCAGGACCTGGACCCCTGAATCACTTCGACCCTGACTTCGATTTACAGACTCTGAAAGAAGTGCTCATCCCCATCTCGAGCTTTGCAGTGTCGCTTCTGCGCCTTATCCCACGGACCTCAAACACTTATTAAGAGCATTCTTCCCCCGAAACCCCATGCCCTAAACCCCAAGCCCCAGGCCCTAAACTCTAAACCGCAAACCCCAAACCCCAAACCCCGAAACCTTAAACCCTAAACCCCAAACATAAAGCCCAAAACTGACCTAACTTGCTGCGAGCTTAAGCGTCAGGCGCGCTTTCATTACGTACTTGGGATCCTTTGGGTTATCGGTCGAGGGTTTAAGGTTTAGGGTTTAAGGTTTAGGGTTTAGGATCTAGGGTATAGGCTTTAGGGTTTAGGGTTTTGGGGTTTAGGGTTTAGGATTTTGGGGTTTAGGGTTTAGTATTCATCATTGTGCTAATCGCACGACTAGTTATACCAGCAGCACTGTTCGCTGTGTTTAGATTCTCTTCGGCATGTGGCTAAAGGGAACTCCAGAAAGTTGGAAGATGGTTTCAGGGTAGGATACCCTATAATTTACCATAAAGGGTTTAGGATAATCATATTCCAACTTTCTGGCTTTTACTTTAAACCCTAAACCCTAAACCCTGAACCCCTGAACCCCTAAACCCCAAACTCTAAGCCCTAAACCTTAAACCCCTAAAGCCCTAAACCCTAAACCAACTTTCTGGCTTTTACTATATCGCCAAGGTGCTAGGAGCGGCCGCCTGAAGGGGCCCGCGTCGCACGAGAAAAAGGAGCTTCCACCTTCAGCTGGGAGTTTCCGAAAATAGGGGTACCATACTTAGGGGGTCCTTATAGTAAGGCTCCTATTATTTTGGGTACTATATTAGGGTCCCCTATCTTCGGAAACTCCCAGATTGCTCTTTTCGAGGCATTGACTTCAATACATTTATGAACAAGACGAAGATTGGAGACTGGAACGAGGAAGACCAGCTGTTCCTGCTGGAGTATAGTAGAAGCCCCGGAAAGTTGGAACATCATTCCGATCTCGACAAGAACGAGCCGCTGTGTGACAGGAATCAGGTTACGGACTCTTTGTTGCTCCGTACTTTTTTCCTTGTCGCAATACACCCTAAAGCTTAAAAACCCTAAACCCTACACCAAATAAGCCCTAAACCCCAAACCCTAAACTAAACCCTAAACCCTACACCTTATAAACCCTAGACCCTCAACCCTAAAGCCTAAACCCTAAACCCTAAACCTATCATAAGGCCAGGTCTGGAAGTCATAGGGTAACGACGAGCATGGGGCGAGCATAGGCTGACGGGGAAGGAGCCAGAGACTCCAATATTCTTGAATTAAGGAAAATTCCTTAAATCATAATAGGATCCCTATATTATAATATGATTTATTCCTTAATTAAGGAATATTCCTTAAATCATAATAGGATCCCTAACATGATTTAGGTAATATTCCTTTATTAAGGGATATTGGAGTCTCTGGGGAGCCCAGCTCGATCGAAGTGTTCTGGGCATCTGGAACCCTGAGCGCCCAAACGGTTGATAATATAAATCCTGCATTACCTTAAGGACCCTAAACTATGGGAATTATGGTATATTCCTTATTATGGGTCATGCAGAACCCTACCTGGACCCTTTTTAGGGCCCCCTCATATGATTTCTTTATACAAGTCCCGAAAAAGGTAGGTTATTTGGGTTAGGGTAGGCCCTAAGCATCCAAAGGACCCAGTAATGAGGTATTCGGGCTTAGGATAGTCGTTATGAAGGCTGCTATTGTGGACAGTATATGATAATTAGGTACTCGGACCCTTAGGATAAATCATGACTGAGAGGGAAGCGGCTCTGGTAGTGGCAAAACCTGCCGAGGAGATTCCCAACTCAAAATACCAGAGTTTATGAACAGTCTTACTCTGCATCCAGAGATTCTGTGACCCTAGACAAGTTGGGTATGGTAGGTTTTAAGATAAGTCGTGGTTTTCACCTTGCACGCCAAGCCCTACCTGTAGTCTCCATTGGAGTTCCTGTTTTTGGTTTAGCCAACTCTAATTATAATACTAAGGTCGTAGAACCCTAAACCCTAAAACCCTAAGCTTTAAGCCGTCAAGCAATAACTACAACAGAGACTAGAGGGATAGGCCCCCTAGAAGGAACCCTTATTCGTCACTTATAGTAACCTCGATAGTAACTTGTAGTTGCCCTAAAGTCTCATGCATTCAAGCCCTGAACCCTGAGCCCCAAACCCTAAACCCTGAGCCCTAAACCACACACCCTAAATCCTAGACCCTAACTTCTAAACATCTTCTAAACCATAAATCCTAAACCCTAAACCCCGAGACCCCAAACTCTAAGGATCCTGTAAACCCTTAACTTCTAAACCCTAAACCCTACACGCTGCACACCCAGACCCTCGGGAGGATCTAGAAAGTAGATCCCTTAGTTTGCGGCCCTAGACTACGAAGGGTGCTTTATAGGAACCCCCATTAGGGGATCTACTTTTTGGATCCTCCCGGGGGTGTGGGCAGGCGCAGCTTCGATCTGACGAGTGCGAATCTTGGGGTCCCCATTACAAGTTGCGGAGCCAGTGGGTGAAAGACGAGGCCGAGGGGGGTTTGGGTTTAGGTTTAAGGCTTTTGGGGTTTAGGGCTTCTGGGGTTTGAGGTTTAGGGCTTTTGGGGTTTGGGGTTTAGGGCTTTTCGGGTTTGGGGTTTAGGGTTACGGGAGTTTAGGGTCTAGCCAAGGGGGATTGGGGTGGTTCTAGGGTTATAGGGTTTAAGGGCTCAGGGCTTTAAAGTTTGGAGCTGGGGGGTCCACAAATATCTAATCCTTAACGGCCGTAAACCGAAATCATAAACTTAGTAGCCGAAACAGCATTAATTAACCAAGCATACAAGACGCTGAAGGGATCGAGTCTCCATCGGAAGATGTGGATCCCTTTGTCGTTTAAGGGATGATGCTGGACAAAACCTCTTTAGGCTTTTGGGGGCCAGGAGGTGTTGGAATTTTAGGGATCCAAAAGCCCTGCTTGGAGGATCATGGGACTTAGTAAGTAAGGTTATAAATAAGGTAACTGTACTTACAGCTACTCATAACTCCAGTAAAGGTACTTAAAACCTTACTTACAAAGTCCCATGATCTTCTAAGTAAACCCCACAACTGCGCCTCTCCTCCATTGTCGGTTTACAACAAACAAGCCGCCAGTGGTCCAAAAGTTGGTCAGGAAACCCGTCGATGGTTCTCAACATAAACCTAAACCCTTAACCGCCTGGCTGCGTTACTGGAAAAAACAGATTCCCAGCTTCTCGGGGAAAAGGTGGCCCCCGTTGCCAACGTTTCCCAGACCCCGGGAGGATCTAGAAAGTAGTCCCCGAATTTGGGGCCCTATACTACTAAGGGTACTTTATAGGAACCCCCATTAAGGGATCTACTTTCTAGATACTCCCGGGGGCCTGGGTTGTGGAGTCAACTACCTTTTTCAGAGCTCCCGATTTCGAATCCCAACGAAGCAGAGAGAGTGGCAAAAGGCAGACTTTTCAGGCTGGTGTCCAAAAAACTCCCTAAACCCTAAACCAAAAACCCTAAACCCTACACCCGAAACCCTAAACCTCTGGTCAGCTAAAGTCGCTGTCGGACAAAGTGTTCTACATGTGGGTGGCTGTCAAAATTAGGGTCCCTTTTTGGGTACCCATTACCTTAATGACCCTAAACTATGGGAATTATGGTATATTCCTTATTATGGGTCATGCAGGATTTATATCATCAACCGTAGGTGCCGTAATATATTCGGGACCCAAAAAGGGACTCTAATTTTGACAACCACGTGGCTTGCAGAAACCTCCCTGTCTTCAGTTTCGACTTTCCGCTCATGTTCATAGGAGGCCAAGAGGGTTTTAGCCTATGGGGGTTTAGTAGGGATTAGGGTTTCCATAATAGGATTCATATTAAGGAATCCCTACCCTAAGAATCTTAACCCCCCCCGTTTGGCCTCCCATCAGGGATTCCTTTAACGCAGCCCCTGGTGGAGGCTTTGGAAGCAACCCTATTCTAGTTATTAAGGCCCCTACAGTAGGGTTCCTTCCCAAAGATTCCAATATCCCTTAATTAAGGAATATTCCTTAAATCAAATTAGGGATCCTATTGTAATTTAAGGTGTATTCCTTAATTAAGGAATATTCCCTAAATCATATTATAATATAGGGATCCTATTATGATTTAAGGAATATTCCTTAATTATGGACCGTTACCTAAAGAACTGGGGCCTCCCATCACATGTCGTTTAGGCCCATCTGCTGCTTCGTTCCGAAGCAGGCAGACTTCTTTACCCAGACCTTCCAAACTTCCCGTTTAGGGGTTAGGGTTTAGGGTTAATTCTGGAAGATATCTTGAACCATATTAGCGATCCAAGTGTAGTTTAGGCTATATTCCTTGATTAAGGTACGTTGCAAGGACCTGGTACCTACAACTATGTAGTGTCCCATGAATTATGGAGGGTGTAGGGTTAAGGGGCATTTTTCATTGTCCTATCAGTATAGGGTCTAGAGTCGAGGGCGTACGGTAAAAGGGTTTAGGGTTTAAGGTTTAGGGTTTAAGGTCTCGGGTTTAGGGCCTGAGTTGTAGTAGAATAGATAACCCCTAGCCCTTTTTTTGGTGCAGTCCCTACGTTTTGCAAGGTTGCAGTATCCTGTCGATGATCTCTCCTTGCATCGAGGGGGTCTTATCCGAATTTTTCGCAGCACGCATTTTCCAGCAACGGACAACATCATGTTTCCACCCCTCACCGAAGCTGAAACAAGCTTCTAGAAGCTTACACATCTAACCCTATTTTGATCGTCTAGGCTTCTACGCTACACCCTTGTGCAACCCTTTGAAGGGACCTTACTAAACCCCTATAGAACCTTTCAAGGAACCCCTAACCTCTTCCCCAACGTCTTCGAGGACGACCTGCTGATCCTGAAGAGGCAAGCCATGGCGGCCAAAGCTCAGCAGGGATCAGGCGGGTGGGGTGGGGTTCTTAAGCTCCTGGGTTCCTGAGTATTAAAGGGGAAAAGGAGGGACCCTTAATGGGGACCCCTACCCTATAATGGGCTATATAATGGGTATATAACAGCTATATTAAGGGTGTATACCTAGGGGTCCTTATTAAGGGTCCCTCCCTTACCCTTGGATGAGTAGAACCCTGTTGCCCTTTTTGTTTTAGAATCCCCTTTATTGCAGACCGAAGTACTGGGGAAAAGGGTATCCTTATTAATATTATAAAGGGGCTACTCAGGAACCGAGGCTTAATAAAGATTGTACCTGGATCCAGGCGTTTAGGGTTTAGGGTGATTTTTGCCAGTGTAGTTTACGGCGCCTCTTGTTTATAGGGTTCCTTAGGGCACCATGATGTGCAAGGTTTGTAACCCTTATAAATGCTAGTAAGCCCTCATAATTCCTCATACACCCTTATGAACCTTTGTTCTAACCCTAAACCCTAATCAAAGGGTACCAGGAGGGACCCTTACTAAGGACCCCTAGATATATCATATATCCCCTTAGTATAGCTGTTATATACCCATGATATAGCCCATTATAGGGTAGGGGTCCGAATTAAGGGTCCTTCCTTGTGCCCTTTGACCTAAACCTTTTCTGCCTTCCGATGCCTCCATGGATCCCACCTGTACTTCATCTGAAGTCCCTTGACCCTTACCCTGACCCCCTTTGGAGGATCCAAAAAGTAGATCCCTTAATGGGGGGTTCCTATAAAGTACCCTCACTAGTATAGGGCCCAAAATTAAGAGATCTACTTCTAGATCCTCCCGGGCGTCTGGGTAGTTCAAGCCCCAAACCCTAAACCCGACAAGACCCAGCGGCTTCCCATATGGGAGTTTCAGAATATCAAGGACCTGGAGTAGGGTTTCGGGTTCAGGGTTTAGGGTTGAGGATGTAGACACAAAGTAGCCGGATCCTTATTCAAACAAGCAAGAGACTGTCCCTTGCACCGGCACCCCGCCGCAAATATTCCGACCTTAAACCTTAAACCCCCAGCAGGATTCAAGTACACCGGCACAATGTCCCCAAGCAATGAGGTTCAGGGTTACTGTAGGGGCCTAAATAAATACTCATAGTGTTGTGGGCCCTTGCTTCTTATAACTAGAATATAGTATAATTGGCCCCAAGACCCTATTCCAATTAAGGCCCCTATAGTACTTCGGGTTGCTGCACCCACAAAATCCCAAAACCTCTGTAAAGGGTTCCCGTGAGAGCTTCCATAAGAGTTCCGAGTTCCTTTGAACAAGCTGCAGTAGTCGGGGTTTCCAGGTGCCCGGGCAGTACCTTAAACCCCAAACCTTGACACGGGTACGACTTATTTCAACGGGCGTTTAGATTCGATTTGTGTACAGCTGCTTTGGAGTATGCTGACTAGCTTCGCTGAATGTTTAAACACGATTGAAATTTTAGGGTTTAGGGTGGCGTATCCAAGGGAAGATAGTCTGACATTGTTGACTCTCCTATCTTAGGCCTGATTCGGGGGTGATCAAGGTACTAGCATGTAATAGGGTTTAATATCTTCAGATGAGGAAAGTTGTGCCAGTACCCTTGCAGATCCCTTATAGTAACCTGCAAACATCCCTTTGAAGCAACCCTATTCCAATTATCAAGGCCCCTATAGTATATATTGGGATCTTTTTGGATGTTGGCGGGTGTACGTTTGGTGCGTTGTAAGAACTGAAATGACCTTACATCGCAAACGTACCAGCCCACACCTGACCTTCCTGAACCCCCAACTCGTGAACCAGAACAATCTCAACAGGAGCTTTCGACATCAATTCAGACGATGAGCCTCCTCCTAGACAGCTTGCAGACTCAGGACATGAGCCTTGGGTAGGGGCTGAGCTTTGAAGGTCTGTGAGGTTTAGAATCTGTCTTATAGTAGCCCAGGTGCCAAATCATTACCGGGCTCGCTATTGGGCCTTCCGGAATCGTAGTTTCATAGCTCTTTTTTATGGGGTAATCCGGACGCATGACTTGCCGGATTCCCTTCGGGGAACATGCGGTAAAATTGGAACGGTACAGAGAAGATTAGCATGGCCGTTGCGAAAGGATGACACGTGCAAATCGAGAAGTGTACGCAGCTTTTTGCAAATTGGAGTTGTGTTGTTTTATGTACGGCTAAGTCCTGTAAGGAGCTTCAGACAGCTACATTATCTATGAATGTGATGTGTGGGTCCTTAATTAGCTAAGTACACAGTAACGGCAATAGGTTCAATGCCCTACGCTGAGATGTGGGGCGAACAGGCAAATCCTTCTGAGCCATCTCAAAGTGTAACCCTAACTGTCCAAAGGACCCAGTAATTAGGTACTCGGGTTTAGGATAGTTATCTAGGTTAAGAGTAAAATTAAGCAGAGTATATGATAATTAGGTACTTGAACCCGTAGGGAAAGACTTACAATCCAACCGGTGCAGCCAAGAAGACAGCAAACCGCCGAGGACGAACACGCCAACATTCGAATGCCCCAACTGGCTACACATCGCGCGCCAAAAAGGCATACACGGCCGGCACAGCATTCTCGAGCTGTTCAAATCGCATGCTTCTCGTTCTAAGCAGGCAGTTTCTCCCTGCGCTCATATGGGAGTTTCCGAAAATACGGGACCCTAATATAGGACCTTAAATAGTAGGATCCTTATTACAAGCACCCCAAAATAGGGTACCGCCTATGTTCGGAAACTCCCATATATCGGTACACAGATTGCAGCTACAGACTCTCTCAACTCGTTCTGAGCAAGGAAGAGCACACGGTCACGGCCCAATGGCACTTTCAGGCACCACTTTGAGACTCCCAGATCCCTTAATTCAGGAATCTTCCTTAGATCATAGGGATCCCTATAGTTTAAAGTTTGAGGTATATTCCTTAATTGAGGGATATTGGAGTCTCTGGACATTCTGAAAGTCCGTGAGCTGCCGGGGATGCAGTCCGAAGCTGCGAATGCACGTGGCAGCCGGCGTGGATGTAAGCCTGAACTGTCTAGTTCTTAGTAGGGCATGGGGTTCCTTTAAGGTCCTTTAAGGGTTCCTTTAAAGGGTTACTATAAGGGTCAAGCTATGGGGGCTTGAACTGTCTATTACTTGGAGGATCATGGGACTTAGTTAGTAAGGTTATAAATACCTTAATTGGAGTTATAAGTATAGTTACCTTACTTATCACCCTAGTTACGAAGTCCCATGATCCTTTAAGTCGGGAAAGGGCGAATGGGTTATGGAGACTACTATTGGGGATTATCTAGGGATCCATTCCCCCATTCCCGACTTAGAATCAGACAGTGAAGCCGAAAGCAGTCCGCTTGGACACAGACTGGAACTGTGGGAACGTGTCGGTTATGAGCATGAGACTATGTGAATCACAGCATCATTGCTTGGGTCCACGTATTAGTTTTTACACTTCGCTGATAAGCACGTTCGCCATTGTATGCGCTTCATCACCCTCAGCATCATCATCCTCATCATCATCATCATCATCATCATCATTATCATCACCATCAATGCTGCGAATAATGGCAAGTATGATGATACCTGGACCTAGACGAGGGTAGCGCTGATGGTGATTGTCATCATTCATCATCACCATCGTAATTTGCATCCTGGTTATTCTGTTACCAATCACGATCAAAACTATCATCACCCAGACCCTCGGGCCCTTAATGGGGGTTCCTATAGAGTACCCTTGGTAGTATAGGACCCCCCAAATTAGGGGATCTACTTTCTAGATCCTCCCGGAGGTTTGGGTATCTGGATTTCGATGACATTCGCCTTGGAAGTACGCAAGACCCCACAGCCGGTTCAGGAGATTCAGAAGTCCACATGGTGGCACTATGCACTCATCAGTACTCTAGCTGGTGGCGACGGTGTGTGGATGATGATGATCATCATCATGATAATGACGATGATGGTAATTATGGTGGTGGTGGTTTATTGTGGTGGTGATGGCGCGGGTGCTGGTGCTGGTGATGGTGCTGATGCAGACGTTGCCGAGTCTGATGGCAGGCCTGCAGCAACGGTAATCCAAAATCCTGAACCCCAAACCTAACCGGTACCGATCGGCTGGGCAGGAGATGTCATCGAGTTGGAAAGACATCCCTTCATCCTGCGGCCGGCATCGAAACTGCGAGTAGGTTACTTGTCTTCAGGACTTAGATCCCATTACATTGTGTCAGTCACATATCGCTATATTCCATGTATTGTATCATACTGTATTGTCTTAGAATATATCATAATTATATTCTTACTTAGCCAATTGGAGAACTTTACACTTTTTTCCTTGATGTAGTTGGTCTATCTTACAAAGTCTGAACTTTTTTGGGGCCTGGTTATTGGAGAAGAGAGTATTCCATATTATTATATACTTGGTTTAGCGGTGTCGGGGGCTTCGGAGGGCCCAGCCCTTTGCAGAGTTCCAGTTTCCGAAATCCAGACCTTGAGAGTCTTCAAGGGGCTTCAGTGTTCCGTGCAGGTATTCAGGATTTAGTTCATGAGTTTGGGTTTAGGGTTTAGGGTGGAATTGAGTTGCTTGAGGTTGAACTTGAAATTTCGTAGGCGATGGTATGCGAGATCTAGCGTGCCACAGCTGTGGCGTGTCCTTTGTGTTCTGACAGTAGCATTCGGATTGGGATTTGGGGGGTACTACGGTTGATGGTATAAATCCTGCATGACCCATAATAAGAAATATACCATAATTCCCATAGTTTAGGGTCCTTAAGGTAATGCAGGATTTATACCATCAACCGTAGAATCCCAAGATGCTCCCAAAGGCTAACCGTTAGTTCCCCAAGATACTCGAGAAGTAGGGTACCATTCGGGTTGGGGCTATGGAGGTTGTAGAGAGGTCCGGCCCACATGCACCCAAACCCTAAACCCTAAATAAACCCTTGAACCCTAAACCCCTAAACCCCTAAATCCTAAAGCCTAAACCCTAAACGACTAAACCCCTAAAGCCCTAAACCCTAAACCCCTAAACCCTAAACCTTGAAGTTCAGGAGCTCAAAAAAACCCTGAAGTTCGGAAGGCATCCGTTGCAGTATCTTAGTTGCTCGGGGGGAGGAGGACCCCCTTGCAGCCCGCACTTGAAGATCTTCCGAACATTCCGAGGATTTCGGGTTCAGGGTTTAGGGCCAAACCCAGTATTCAGCCCTTCGGTTCCTCAAAAGGGGTCTATAAGTTATAAGGGTTTAGGGTTTAGGGTTTAGGGTTTAGGGTTTAGGGTTTAGGGAATAAGGGATCTATAGTAGGGTTCTGTATTCGGGGCCTAGATAATAATTGCCAATGTTGATGTGGGGGATTACAGTAGAAGCCCAAATGTTGGAAACCCGACAGCCTCAGTCCTTAAGAGTCATGTAGAGGGAATCCCAGCACTATTTGGCCTTAATCCGGTTTCCAACTTTATGAGATTTACGACACACCCACCCAAACCCCCTAAACCCCTACACCCATAAACCCCAAACACCTGAAACCCTAAACCGCAAAACTCTAAACCCCAATACCCTAAACCCCTAAACCGAGACCCCAAAGCACAGCCTCATCGTTTACTGTAAACCCTAAACCCGCGACTTGGGCCCGCCTTTTTTAGATCCTGGCCCGGACAGAAAACAGTAGCACCCGTATTCCCTTTTTGCAGTCCCAGGTTCCTTATCAAGCTACCCAATACCAAAAAAGGGAGCCCTTTGCATTCCTAGGTTACTGGGCAGCCTAGAACCTGAATGCTGCACATCAAGCTCTGAAGCCGAAAGTCTTTAAAAGACCTTATTATCCAGCAGGTTCCAGAAAAGACCCCCAAGCCCCAACCTAATAAGGAACCCCCAAAATAGTATAGGTAATTATTAAGGGCCCTATATTAAGAACTAACTTACTAGTAGAGTAGGTAACCTTTAACCTTTCTGGGGTAGTATAGTCGCTATATAGCTCTTTATCGAACCCAAAAGGTTAACCTTTAGTTCCCCATGATACCCGACAAGTAGGCGAAACCGTTCAAACAGGAGTCTTTCATGATCTTCTCCTCAAGCCCGACTTTACGTGTAATGTACATAGTTCAAAGGATCAATGCATATGGCAGCCTTGCAAACCCGCATAATTTCAACCTATAACACCCTTTCTGCCTGCATAGGTTGGGACATCATGGCAGTTCTCATGCTGATGTACGACATGATCTCTCTCCCTCTGGCGGTGTTCTACTACGACGAGCATTCCGCATATGTGCTGTATGCACTGCACCTCCTCTATTATAGTTGGAATTAAACCCTAAACCCTAAACCCCTAAACCCTAAACCCTAAACCCCTAAACCCTAAACCCCTAAACCCTAAACCCTAGACCCTAAACCTGCCTGTCATTTAGGACTCATCTCAGACGGTTTTGGGCCAAAGACCTCAACATGGCGCCCTGGGCTCCCCGCCCCATCAACCCAAACCCCTACTTAAAGGAATGGGGTTCCTTTAAGGGTTCCTTTAAGGGTTCCTTTATTAAAGGGTTACTATAAAGGGTTACTATAAGGGTCATGCTATTGGGGTTTGAACTGTCTAGTACTTAAAGGATTATGGGACTTAGTAAGTAAGGTTATAAGTCCGTTAATTGGGGTTATAAGTTATAAGCATGGTTATCTTACTTATAACCCTAGTTACTAAGTCCCATGATCCTTTAAGTAAGCTTCACCCGGACTCTGAGCAATCTACCTTTTTATGGACTTATGATTGTACAACTGTATAACGAAATCATAATGAGGTACCCTAAAAGGTAGGGTTCTTTAGGGTCCAGGTAAACCCTAAACCCTACACCTTGAAGCGAAACATCCGCAAAACCGCGCAGCTCGAATGCCCAGGACATTTCAACCCAGAGACTCCAATATCCCTTAAGGTCTACCGAAGGTTCCTTTCAGGGACCCTTTACGGGATCTATAGAGTTCAGGGTTGAGGGACTCCGCTGTCCCTTAATTTAAGGTTTTGTCATAGTTGAGTAACATTTTACATTTTTATGGGTACTTAAACCCAATGAGGAATACACATGTAGGTTCTTCATCCTATCCCAACCATGAACTAGTTATTAGGGATCCTACTATAATGTCCAGTATATTCCTTGATTGAGGCCTATTGGAGTCTTGAGGAACCTTCAGAGCATCAAGCCCCAACCTCGGACACTGCCCCCCACTTATGTTTTTATTCTCTTTGTATGCTAATCATCATGTCTTACCTACGCTACCTCGTGGCTCAAGTACAAAAGGGATTCGTGCGTTCCGCTGTTAACAATAGGTTATCAGCCGTAGCTTGTATAGCTCTTCGTAGTGCAATGGACACCACAGCTCCCACAAATCCTGCAGGTGTGCCTATCTCCGAACTAGGTGATGACGATACGGAGTCCGCCCGCTCGAGATCGAATCTGGGCGCAGAGCTTCCGGTTGTCACCGCCCGGGAGGGTCGGGTAGCTCTCACTGAGCAGACGCTACGTTCGCATGTTGGGTCCCTTGGACCTCAACCAGCATACGTGCCATCACGAGCGTCGCTGACACATCAGCCCTCACCCACAGTCGTAGGCTATTCTCCGGTGCCTCCATCGCACACCTCCGTTCCAACTGTCGTGAATCAGTTGTATCAGCATCAGCAAAACGTTCTGATCAGTGCGGATCCTGCACTGATTATGGATACAGCAAATGCAAGACACGCTGAAGCCGTTCGCAACATCCAAAGCGAAAACAGGGAGCAAATTCTCGCTTTGGAAACAGGTGCCATGAGTCAAGTCGCTCAGCTGAGGCTTGAGCATGCACAGTTGCAGTCAAAAGCCAGAGCCTTTGAAGAACAGGCTAGTCAAAACATCCATGCTGGTCGGCAGGCCGTAGCCCAGTACCAAATTGAGGCTGAAACAGCCGCTGCTGAAGCTGAGCAGCTAAGGCAGCGCCTCCTATCCGCTGAACAGACAGCTGCAAATGTTGTCGCCCAGGTGGAAACCGAGGCAAATCGAAGGTTGCAGGCTAATCAAGCCGACGTGTCAGCTCGTGACAACGAGCTCTCTCGCCTCAAAGGTGAGATGCAAGAGATGATGAGGATTCAAGCCCTCAACATGGAGATGCTGCAAAAGGACAATGCCGAGCTAAGAACACGCTTGGCGGAAGCCAAAGCTGACCCATTGGGCAATGAACCGAAACAGGCCGGGCCTCCTGGTCTAGGACCCTTTCCGATCCATACTCCTCCTGGCGAACCACTTGAAGCGCCTGAAAAGAGCGGTAAGAAGGAGAAAAAGAGCAAGAAATCCAAAAAGCACAAGAAAGATGAGTCGTCGGATTCATCGTCTTCTTCCATTGACAACAAGATTCTTCTGAAGATGCTCAAGAAGATGGTGAAATCTAAGAAGTCTGATAAAGAGGATGATGACGAAGAAAAGGGTTCCTCGAGTACCAAACCCAAGGTTAAAGAGGCTGAGAGAGTCGTGTTTCCCAAGTTTCCCCAGCCTGAGCAGTATAGAAACTGGCGCATAAGGGTCCGTGAAGCCATTGTCGCTGCATCGGATTCGCCTGACAAGGCTCATGCCTGGCTCAGTAAGGTCTGGGAGAAGGACGCCGACGAGAAAGAGCTTCGCGACCCGGAGGGGTTTAGCACCTTGGATGCCAAGATCCTTTCTGGGCTCACCAATATCCTTGAGGGTGATTTCGCTAGGCAGACTGATACCTTCAAGGAGACCGAAGCTCACGCCGGAAGGCTGGTGAGAGGAAGACAGTTGCTGTGTCGTCTTCACAACCACTTTGCTACCAATGCACTCCATGGCTCTGTGTATGACATGGAGGACCTGATGAATTGCATCATGGTCAACGAAAACCTCACCACCTTCATTAGAAATTGGGATACGGTGCTATCAGGGATTCCCAATCCTCCAGACAACAGCGTGCTTGAACCCCTGTTCCATAGACAGGTGAAGAAGTGCAAGGATATCGATCACGACATCCAGGTCTATGAACGCGCACTGGAAGGTAGCGAGCAAAGGTCCTATCAGTTCCTGTATAACGCGGTTGCTAATCACTTGAAACGCAAGCGATTGCAGAAGAACCGCGAGCGCATTGCTCGGCAAACAGGTGTACCTACTGCGCCTGCTGCCGCACCGGCCCCTAAGCGTATTCCCAAAGGGTATTGCGTTGATTGGGTCAAGACCGGAAGTTGCAAGAGAGACAATTGCCCGTACAAGCACCAACAACCTAGGGGGCGTTCTCACACTCCTGCCGGAGGTCGTACGCCTACTAGAACCCCTAGCCCGGGAGGGAAAGGTAAAGGCAAAAAGCAGGAATGCAAGTTCTTTAAGCAAGGAGTTTGCAATCGTGGAGACAAGTGTAACTTCCTCCACAACGGCCAACCTGCTGCAGCCGCCCCGGGCAGCTCAGGTGCACGAGCGAGCAGCGGCGAGAAGAAGGAAAAGAAGCACAAGAAGAAAGAGAAGAAAAGTGGTAAGGGCCGCAAAGGCTCCAGATCTAGCTCCAAGAGCTCTTCAAAGAGCGGCAGCCGAAAATCAAGTAAGTCTAGCCAAGGCTCGAAGGGTTCGCGTGGCTCAGGTCGCAAGGGTGGTGCGCCCTCCGTTCCCGCTGCAGTTTGCTTATTGGGAGCAATGTTGGCTGGCTCAGCAGCCCAAGCCGATGCATTCACGTTCCGGAAGGATATGTTGAGCAATGTCGATGTTTGCACCCCGCACTATCATGTCGCACTGGCCGCAGTGTCATTCAATGACACTACTGAAAGTTTCACGTACCAAATTCCGAAAGGGAATGGCCTCTACCCCCTCGATGATCGCAATAAGCCAAGGGAGTATAGCCAAGTATATCCCGCCAACAGCCATTGGAAAGCCGATCCTGATTCCGTGAAGGAAGCTCAGGTAACCGCTAAGATGTTGCAAGCTGTTGTCAGTGATGAGGTCAAGGGCTGTAGACCGCAGTGTAAGTTCAAGTGCAACACTGAGTTTGGATGCAAGCATTGCATTCCGATTGGTTTGAAGTTCAACTGTGCCGCACCCGCCAGCAGCAAATCACCATGTCTGTGCATTGAATGGATTGCTGACACTGGCAGTGCGCAAGATCTCATCGCCCAGCGGGAGCTTGGGCAGGCGAAGGCCTACGAGTCACCTGCGCCCATTCAAATGATGACTGCAAATGGGCCAAACTCCGCTTCAGAACAGTGTGATGTTTCTGTTGACTCCATTGGGATTGAGGTCAAACCATATGTTCTTCCTAATACCCCATCTGTCCTTTCAATAGGACAGCGATGCATGGAAGAGGGATTCGATTTCATCTGGAGGGCTAATTCACGACCGTACCTTAAGACTCCCGAAGGGAAGAAGGTCTATATGGACGTTAAAGATAACGTGCCGTACTTGAAGTCCTGGCATGAAAACATCAGCGTCCCTGCGCGTCGGGCCTCGTCCGGTCCTGGTAAGACGCAGATCATTGAAAGCCCCTCCGCGGCCGGAAGGCCAGCGCCGGAAGAATCATCCGAGGCTATCGCAAAGAAGCTTCGAGAGTCTGGCGACTTCTCACATGCATCATGTTACTCCTTGTTAAACAAGGTAGCTTTCAAGGCCTCTAAGAAGCAGAGGTCTATCATCGCCAAGGACCCAAAGTCCTCTAAGAAGTCCGAGTATGTTGTGCTCGGAGCCTTCTCCCACGGCGGTATGCAAGGCATCACTAACCGCAGTCACCAAAATAAGGAGCTAATGAAGTTCCTCAATGAGTATCTGAAACATCATGGTGCCAAGGGCCCCAGCTCTTCACTGTGCATTAATCACGGGTCCGGCGTCAAGGTGCACAAAGATGCTCACAATCATCGTGAACACAAGAACAACACTATGTGTTTGGGTGACTTCGAGGGAGGCGAACTTTGGATTCATGATGAGGAAATCAGCAGGGAGAACAAAGATTATGCTTCTGTTCGCACGCCTGACGGCAGTAAGCTGAAAGGCAAAGTTCACAAGTCCAAGCATCGTATGATTACGTTTGATCCCAAGACGTACCACTGCGTCCGTCCCTGGAAGGGTGACAGATGGAGCATCACATCATACGTGAAACGTGCTGTGCACAAGCTTGATGCTACACAGCTCGCGAGACTTAAAGAGTATGGTTTCAACGTGCCATCTAAGGTCTCAGCTCCGTCTTTGATCGAACCCGGTGATGAGGAAACGTCTCTATATGACCTTGTTGCCGGAACACCTCCAGTTGAGAAAGGGGTTGAACTACGTGCAAAGCCCAAG